CGTGACAGCTGGGGAAACAAAGGCACCCCAACATGGGGCAGCTTGCCCTAGGTAACAGCCAGTGAGTGGCTCAACTGGGATTGAAGCTCAGCAGTCTAGCTCCAGCGTCTGAACTCTTAGCAGCCACACTATCCTGTCTCTCGGGGCCAGTTTATCCCTTATCTGGTGGTACCATCCTTATCTGTGTCTGGGTCTATCCACCCCACTAGGCAGGAAACTCTGAGGACATGTCTCCTTGACAGTGTCCTCTCAGCTTTGGTCTGACCCTGTGCTCCATGAAGGCTGGGTGTAGGGACAGATGGACAACACCGCAAGCCCACCACCATGCTCCCTTGCATCTGAGCAGCTGGTCCCTGAGCCAGTGGACATGATAAGCAGGTGGCCACTGAGGGCTGCTGTTGGTCTGGGCTTGGCTGGAGGAGGAACGTGTCCCAAAGGAGTGCAGGAACCGGGTGGGAACCGCTGCCATCAGTCAGCTTTGTGTGGGTGGCAGAGCCCTGGGTTCTTCAGTGTGAGCTGAGTGCAGCATGCAGGTCTCCTTCCCTACCTCTCCCCTACTCTATTCCCTGCTGCTGTTTGCTGGAGGGCACCTCCAGGAATCCAGACAACGCAGACAGCTAGAAACAAAGCCAGGAGGCTTTGGAGAGAAAAAGGAGGAAACAAAGGAGGATGGATATAAGAAGGGTGGGAGGAAGGTCACAGGGTCCTCTGCATGGCTTGGTGGCCTCTGGCTCACAGGGCTGGAGTCAGGTGCCCAGTCCGGTGTGGACGCCAGGACACAGGAGCCGGCTTGGCCCACTGCAAGGTGAGCTCTGAGCTACCAGGTTGGGCCAGTATTCCGGCGCTGCCCAGGGGACCCTGCACTAGGCCTCAGCGGCTTTTCTTGTGGCTGGACATCTCCACAGCTGGCCCCAGGACTGGGTGTGGAGGACTGGAAATAGGCTCTTCACTCCTTTCTCTCAAAGGAAGGTTTTTATCTGTCTTCAGTCTCCAGAGTTGGCCAGTGAGGCACAGATGTCCACTTCCTTTAGTTCCCCCAATGCACAGTTTATTATCTTCTATTTCATCACATTCCTGTATTTCTTTCGATAGGAAATATACTGGTTTTCCCCAAAACTGCATTCAGCATGAGGTTTCAGGTGCCGCTTACTCTAGGGGTCCAAGGCTTGGCCTCCATTGCTGTGATCCCAAGGAAGCCACCCAGAATTAGCAAGTTGGAGTTTGGGGTTGGCCAGGCGGTAGGGGTCCCGGCTGGGCGTCGCCCCCTCCCCACCTGCCCTTGGACGTCACCTAAGCCGCTGTTGCCATGGATCCGTGGCAGATGGCCGGGTTTAGGGTTCCCGGCGCGGGCGGGTGGCACTCACCAGATTAGGTGAATTAGGGAGCCCGAGCAGGCTCGCCGCCGCCGTCACCGCCGCTGCCAGGCCCTGCGTACCATGGAGCCCCTCAGCCGCCTGGATGACCCCGAAGAGCAGTGCGTCCCGCAGCCTGGCAAGTGGGCGCTGGTGCGCAGCCTGAATCAGACGCTCAAGACCCTCGCAGTCCTGCCGGTGAGAGGGAGAGCGGGAGGGCGAGCCTGGCCAGCTGAGCCTCAGTTTCCCTCTGGTCAGGAGTCCAGTAGAGCACAGGGTCTCAAGGCCCTGGTATTGTAGAAGGTCGGCAGCCTGGGAAACTGGATGGGGCCGTGACCTCGGCCTGACTTTCCCCGACCCGCCTGTTAGGCAGGGAGGTTTTGATTGTGGAAAACCAGGGAGTACATGTAGGTGGGGTGGGTAGGAGGAGAGACTTCCGGCCTTTTCTGAGGTGAGAGCAGGGAGTGTCCCCCAGGGCACAGAGAGGCCTAAGCCAACCTTTGCTGGCCAGCTAACTGCCAGAACAGCATGGCCACTCTGGGTCCCCTCGGTCACCAAGGGTGAGCGGCTAGACACTTCTTTGCTCCGAGGTGCTCCGCAAGATACTCACAGGCCTCTCCCACCTGTGAAGTGGGGCTGATAAAAGCACTCTCCCTGAGTGCTCAGGAAGATAAACAAGGGTGAGGGGTGGGGTGCGGGCCCTGGGACAGACTCAGTACCTTCCACGAACAGGTACCCAAAAGCAACCCAGCTCCCAGAGTAGAGGAGAGGAGAGGCAGAAAGGGCTAAGGCCCTGTGGTGGATTAATGTCCATTTGAGGTGGTCTGGTGCCTGGGAGGAGGCCTGTGGGGTGTTTCCTCTTCACCTGCACTGACTCTCCGTTTTAAGGCTGGTAAAAAGTGAGGCCCAGAGAGACTGAATGACTTAGCTAAAGTCACACAGCCTCAGGAGCAGAACTGAGACTATAGCCCCCATCACTTGACTATATGCTCACTGTGGCTGTGTGCTGGCTTTCCTATGTGGTGGGGGGGGCCCTGGGATTTGGGGGTAACCTTGAGAATATTTAGGTAGACTCATTCTAGGAAATCACTACACTGAGGCTGGAAGCCTGCAAAGCTGGGGCTGGGGTTCTTAGGGCCCCTCTGCTCCAGCCACTCATTTGACAGTTGAACAACTAGGACTTGTCCCAAGTTACACAAGCCACACCAAGGCATGTGCCCAAGTCACAAATGGGACCTTCAATTCAAGGTGAGGCCCCTGTAGGGGTAATGGGGCAGGATGTCACGCCAGCCTGGGGATTAGGCCTGGAGCTGGGTCCCCTGTCCTTGTGGCCACCTCCTGCCTCAATAAAGTTTCATCCTTCATCACAGCCTCCTTCCTCCTTCCCTTCCCTCCCCTGCCCCGTGACCCTGTGTTGGTTCTCATTCTGTCTTCCAGGTGCCAACAAGCCCATCGTCACTGATTCGATGAGTGACTGTGGCAGATTCCTTTCTCTCTTTGGGCCTGTTTCCTCCTCACCTGTAAAACGAGGGCCTTTACTTCCTGGCTGCAATCTGACAGCAGGACTCTGGGACCAGAGGAATGTTTGTCTTCAGAGATTGTCTTGCCTCAGAATCTCCCTGAAGCCCCTTAGCTTTTATTTGAAAATTTTTTCCTCACTCTCTGACCTGGACTAGAAATAGTTGTTACCGCCCTACTGGTAATGGATGGATGGATTTAAAAATGAAAATAATTTATGCCATTTCCTGAGGTTAAAAGAGTTCGAGTCACTTATGTTTGCTGTGTGGCTCTGAGAACCTCACTGGCCTCTCTGAGCCTCTATTTCCTGCTCACATAGGTTTTTGTTTTATTTTAGTGGTACTGGGGATTGAACTCAGGGCCTTTGCATTGTGTTATACTCCAGCCCTTTTAAAAAAATGGTTTTGTTTGTTTCAAGGCAAGGTCTCCTTAAGTTGCTGAGCTGCCCAGATGGGGCTCAATCTTTGCTTCTTCTTACCTCAGCCTCCCAGAGTGTCAGGATCGCAGGCCTGCATCACCATCCCTGGTCGTGAGGCGTTTTATTTTGGCTAGTCTGTTTTCTCAGTGAGGAATGAATTTTTATGTATGCCAGGTCTTATCCAAGATCAGGGTTACAAGTGACTCCTCCTGGGGTCAGGGACCTTATCAGTGTTTCCTGTTTTGCTCGGGACCCAGCCCAGGGAATGTTGGGAAAGAGCACTAGGTTTGGAGACTGTCTGTCCTGGTCTTTGGTCCTGCCTGTTCCTACAAAGCAGCTGTGTGAGCCTGGACACATTTTGTGACCCCCCGCCTGAGGGTCAAAGGCATTCATTGCAGGGGACGTCTAGCTTGCTGGGAGCAGGTTGTGGGTGTACTGAGTTCTCATGGAGCAGGGTTTGGTTCCCTGGCTCCTGAGTTGGCCCCTTGTGTAGGCCCTGCACCCCCTACACTCATCTCCCACAGAGTCACGCCGCACACTTTTACACACACTCACACCACTCTCTGCACCTCTTCTCTCACAGAGACCTGTTCTCTGCTGGGCTCTGGGCGGTCAGAGGTCCAGTGTGGGGTTGCGCTGTGTGTTTGGGGGGAGTCCCAGGGGAATACTCCATTCTCCACGCTCCACTCAGCAGCCAGATGTGAAGAGGGATGACTGCATGACTTCCTTCGCTCTCATCAGAGCCTGCCCCCACTGCTGTTCCTTCCTGCCTCAGGGCCTTTGCCCAGGCCACTCCCTCTGTCCAGATTACTATCCCCTGTCCTTCCCCCAGCTGGCTGCTTCTTATCCTTCAGGTCTCAACTGAGCTCTGAGAAAGCCTCCTGAGTCTGAGGCCGGCCACTTCTGTCATCCTCCACTGTTAGAGTCCTTACTGCCTTCACAAAGTCCACCAGTATCTGAAGGGATCATGTTAATAATATACCTGCTAGTCTCTGTCTCCTTCAGAGAGGATGCAGACTCCATAATCACTGCCCCATCTCCAGCCTTTAGATCAATTAACATCTTCTATGCAATGGATGCTTAATACGTGTTTAACATATTGGCACTGGATGTGGTTGTCCTGAGCCTACTTCTCTGCTTTAAGTTTTAGATTTGCTTTGCATGAACCCTTCTGTGTAGTGAGAACCAGGCTCCAGGCCTCATGAGACAGGACACATAAAAGTGACACTTCCCCTACAAGGTCAGGGCTGCCTCCACAAGATGGGATCCAGCGTGGCCCAGCAGTGTACAGAGGGGACTCGTCACCAGGATGCTGAGAACCTGCCTGGGAGTTGGGTGTCACTGGAAGACAGAGGAAGCGGTTTGAGTGTTTTGGTGTTTGTATCCAAACCCCAGTTAACCTGCCAGGTGTAGGTCCTGGGGAGCCAGGTTTTGGGCAGGCCTAGGTTGGAAGCTGTCCTGCTCTGTGACTGGCTTTTCTCTCTGAGCCTCTGCTTGCCCTTCTGTAAAATGGGGAGAGCAGTGGCTGCTCCACAAGAGGGCTTGGCAACATCGTGGAAGTCCCAGCCCAGGGCCTGGCACCGGAAGGCCCCGGAAAGCACAGCTTTCTTTCTTCTCTGTGTCAGAGCAGTGCCTCTGGTGGTATTGGGGTTGGGCAAAGGGCTGCTGGGAAGGGTACCTGCCTCTGCTCATGCCTGGCCTCTTCCCCATAGGGGGATTACGTGTGGATGGACCTGCGATCCGGGCAGGAATTCGACGTGCCCATCGGGGCTGTGGTAAAGCTCTGCGACTCCGGGCAGATCCAGGTGATGGATGATGAAGGCAATGTGAGTAGCCTGCCCTCTGCCAGTCTCCATGTCTGGGGCGCACAGGGCTGTCAGTGCCCCAGGGTAGGGGCCAGGAAGGGATCTGCTTGGGAAGATGGAGTCCTGTGCTCCCACTTGTACCTCTCAGACACTTCCTCTTCCCACTGCTCCAGCAAGAGGCTTCCCCCTTCTCTGTCCAGGCTGCCCGATCCTCTTCCCCAAGTACCTGACCCATTCAGCACAGCATTTGAAGAAAGTACATCAGGTACCAGGCTGCCTTGAGGGTGGACAGATCCCATCTTGCCCACTTATTGGCTGTGCGACCTTGGCCAAGTCTCTTTCCCTTCCAAATCTCAGTTTCCTCTTCTCTAAGATGTAGATAATCCTGATTTTCTCCTGGAGCTGTTGGCTCCCAAAACCACACATGCAAAGCCCCTCAGAGAAGTGAGTACCAGCCTGAGACTTGGTCTATAAATGCCTATAATCTTGCTCTGTCTGGTTGTGGCATCAGATGAAATCTCTTGCCCACTGGGATGCTGCCCCGGGAACCAAGCCAACAAGTCAGCCCTTGACCTCTCAGGGCCCAAAAGAAAAGGGACACAGGAAGTGTAAACTTGATAGGTGGTGATAATGGGGCTTTGTGCAGGGAAGGCGAGCTCTGAAGCCAGTGTCATGCCCTGGGGAAGGTGGGGCTCTGTGCAGGGCAAGCCTAGAGCCTCTGAGCATGTGTACAGCATGCGTGTGCATATGTGTGACACTGGGGACAGGAAGGTGCAGTGCAGAATGGTTGTAGCTTGGCAGGGACGTGAAGGACCAAGGGAGATTCAACCTCGGATAGTGTCCAGTGTTGTGCCTGGCACTGGGAACACAAATACGCTTGAGTCCCTGTCTCAGCTCCTAGTCTAAGGGGAGAGAGGAAATATAGGGTGCAGTGACTTGGAACGGAGCTCTGTTTGGGCAGGGGTGACCCAGGGGCTGCTAGGCTGGGTGGTGGGTGTGGAACGGATGGGGGTCCTGCTGATGCCCTGAGACCCTCCAGGGCTCCCCCTCAGGGTTTGCAAAGACCTTTGATCCAACTTCTCTTTGGAACTTTACATTTTTTGGGAAAGGCAGGGTGGGCTAAAACTGTTATCCTTTGGGCAAACTGAGGCACTGATGGGGCCATATGGCTAGTTGCACAGCTAGTAAATGACAGTGCTAGGAATAGAACCCAGGACTTCTGGCTTCTATGCATGAGTTTTCCGGGTCAGCATCCCAGTGGCAACTGTGAGACTCAGGTTCCGTTAGCCATGCCTTTGTCCCCAGGGCTTTGGAGCCAGGAGTCTACAGTGTCCTTCCTGAGGTTCCAGCTCTAGGACCCTTTGAGAAGCCACTGTGAGGCTGCAGTCACAGAGGAGAGGACACAAGGTGCAGCTGGCAGCATAGACAGACCTGTGCACGGAGTCCCCAGGGTGGGGACCAAGGACTTTGCCTACAGGCTTAGGTTTCACCTGGGTTGTGTTGCATGTCAGCTGGTGTCCCGTAGCTCTGTGTCACTGGATCCCCTCCCATGCTGCCCCCCCAGGCCCTGAGACGAGGGGCTGCAGAAGGGGAGGGGCATGAATAGCGGGCAGAGGACACATTAGAGAGGCTGGGCTTTGCCTCAATGGTACTGCACCCTGAGGTTTCTGGCCCCTTTTCTATCTCTACCTCCCCCTCATTCTGGACCATTGTCCTCTACCCTGTGTCCTTCCATGGACTCCCAGCAATTTGCAGCAGGCACCAGGCAAATCACATCTGGTTCCCCAGAGCTCAGTGGGGTGAGGGCAAGCCCTGTGTGAAGGGTTATGGTTGCAGTCCTCCTGGGACCCTGGCTTCCACCTTCAAAGCCATTCTCCAGGCCAGAAGGAGCCTCTTTCCCTGACTCCATGCTGCACCTTTCCTCTCCATTACAGTCCCAGCCAGCTCTTTCTCAAACTTGTCCTCAGTCCCTGGGATTATCATGTTTACTGTCTCTCCGTCTTTGTATCCCTTCCCCTCTCTCTCTCTCTCCTCCCTCTGGCCCTCCTGCCCCCACTTCTGTCCCCTCTCCCTCCCAGCGTCTCTGGCATTCCTTCAGGGCCTGGCCTGGCTCCTTCCCTGGTTACACTTTGCCCTGGGCTAAGCCATATCGCTGTGGACCTTGGCCAGGAGGCTGCTGCCCTCAGCTGGGAGGGGGAAGTGCCTAGCTCTGCATCCTAGCTGGGTCGGTCACTTCACCTCATGAGTCTGTCTCGTCGCTACAGAAAAAGGTCTGTAAATCCATTCCCGAACATATGGGGAGCGAATCAGAGCACATGTCGTCTTTATAGAACCAAACACGTTAGAGACTCATCCCCAGCACTGGTTGAGCATTTCCCAGTGCTGGGCAGACCTGGCAGGAGAAGGCTGTTCACAAGTCTTCCCAGCATACCCTGGAAGAAGGCATTGTCCTCAGCCCACTTTATAGATGAGGTTGTGGAGGCGCAGGAAGGCCAAGTGACCTGCACAGAGCTCCCAGCATGTGATAGCTGTGCTGTCTCCTGACCTGGGTCAGGTCCTGAACCATCCCAGGAGGAACCAGGCACTGGGGGTGGGGCCGCCCAATGGGGAAGGCAGTCAGTCTGCCCAGGAGCCCTTCCTCTCTGGCCAAGCTGGGCCTAGGTCAAGGCGGGCATGGGGATAGGCAGAGGGAATTTTCCAAACGGATCAGCTTTTATCGAGAAATAGGGTGCCCGGGAGTGAGGAATGTTCCACATGGGACTGGAAAGTCCAGGAGGGTTGTTGACCTCACCACCTGGCCCCTTGGGCCTCAGGGAGGGCTGTGTGAGGGCCTGACCTGGACTGAATCTCCTGGCCACAGAACACCAGGGAGCTGGGGTGGTGGCACTGGCTGGCCCTGCCTGATCCCTTCCCTCTGGGTTCCCTGGCCTGGCCACCACCCTACTTCAAGAGGCAGGAGATAACCCAGGTGGGAGATGGGGGTAGCTACCACTATTTGGTGCTGAGGGGGCAGGACTGGGTGCCAGTTGGATGGGGCAGGGGGACTAATGCCCAGATTTCTGCCAGAGTCTAGTCTGAGGGCTTGAGCTGGGAGGTCACATGTCAGTTCCTATCTGCTTCCAGTCTCCTGCATCAGAACATTTGGGAGTAAGAGGGCTGTGGGGCTCCACTCTTGCTATAGCCACACCCTGGAGTGCTGATCAGATTCTCACTTAGCAGAAAGTCTGGCATTGAGAAAGTGCTGGAGACCCCCAGGGATGGGTGGCTCCTGCAATCTGGAGGATGCACCTGCCTGCCACTTCCTGGCAGTGGGGAATATTGCAGGGGAGAATGGGGGAGCCAGAAGGTCACCCGCATCCGGTCCCCTCAGCTCACGGACACGCAGTTCTCCCCTTGTTCCGTGTGTCATCAGCAAGCCCTGTGAAGTGTGTCCCGCTAGGTCCATATCTCCCTGTGGCTTGCTGACCTGCCACACCTACCCCAGCTTCCAGGTTGCTGTTCTGGCTGCTCCCTGGGCTTGGCATTCTCTCTCCACATCTTATGGGTTCTTTCTCCTTATTTGGGACTCAGCTCAAATGCCACCCTTCCCAGCAAGGTGGCTCCTGAGCATCCGATCTAATTAGCTCCGTCTGTGGTTCTTCATGCCTGTCTGTTTATTCTTGGTATTATCCGAATTACTGTTTACTGTTCTTTACTTTTTACTGTTTTTACTGTTTCCTGGACACTGGGTGTGAAGTCAAGTCTGACTCCACTGATTACACTTTATAGTCTATCTTGCAAGCTGACTTTAGGGCTACGCCTCCACAGGAACACTGGATCTCCCCGCAGAACGCCACACACATCAAGCCCATGCACCCTACCTCAATCCATGGCGTGGAGGACATGATCCGCCTGGGGGACCTCAATGAGGCGGGCATCCTGCGAAACCTGCTCATCCGCTATAGGGACCACCTCATTTACGTGAGTACCAACTAGGAGCCCAGTCTCCTGAATTCACCACTCTGCAGCTCACCCTGCCCAGGACTCATCTGCCTGAAGCTCATCCTCCTGGGTGGTGCTGGTGTGGCTGTGGCTGGGATGGGACTGTTTGCAGCAGAAGGTCTTGTGCCTCCATAGACCTGGAAGCCACTGGGAAGAGAGGGCTCAGTTAGTGACAGACTTAGCACCCCAACCAGGAGCGGGGTGGTGGTGAGGGAAGGGGAACTTTGCAAACACTGGTTGTTTGCTGCAGGCTTGGGGCTGATAGTGGGTCCTCAAGGCCGGAGGAGCCCAGCTAAGGAGGATATATATCCTCAGGAAAAGGATAGAGCAGGACCTCAGAACCTTGAATTCAGGCCAGGCAGCCCTTTCTTCTCCACATGGAGACCCAAGAGACCAATAAAACCCATCTAAGGCAGCAAGGACAACAGTGGACCAAGAGGGTGATTCAGAGGATACCTGATCACAGGCCCTGGAGGCCATTTAGTCTAGAGGTTCTCATGCCTGTTGGTCGCAAGAAACCAGAATGAAAATGGGGAAAGGGGAATTAGAAGAGGAGGGAGGAAGTGGGGAGAAAAGAGGAAGAAGAAAAACTTAGCAGGACCCCAAAAGCCTATTCTTTAAGTGGACTATGTCAAATTTACTGTATTCTAATTTAAAACAGAAATTTTAAAACTATTTATTAATTTATTTAAAATAACCATAATAGGAGCTAGGCATGGTGGCACAAGCCTGTGATCCCAGCACTTTGGGAGGCTGAGGCAGGAGGATCACAAGTAGGGCAACTTAATAACTCAGTAAGGCCCTGTCTTAAAATTTAAAAAAATGTAAAGGGCTGACAATACAGTTCAGTGTGAAGGTCTGAGTTCACTCCTTGGTAATGAAAAAAAAAAAAAAACCTTTATAGCATAGCATATTTTAATGGGGGAAAAACGATTTATCAACATAAAAGAAATTAGTAAGCACAGTGGTACTACTTACAGGTTTCTCGGATCTCTTTAATTCTGGCTCAGTGGATTTCATGTCTGCCTCCATGAAGTCTAATGTGCTGTTTGGTTGGACCATATGGCAACAGTCTGGCCTCACAGATTCTGTGTGTGTGTGTGTGTGTGTGTGTGTGTGTGTTACTGGGAAATGAATGAGAAGCCCCACACATACTAGGCAAATACTGCTATTGAGCTATATCCCCAGTCGTTTGAAAAATTTTTGTTTTAAGACAGTCTCACTAAGTTTTCTAAGTTGCTTAGTCTGGCCTTGAACTTGCAGCCCTCCTGCCTCAGTCTCTCTGGTAGCGGGGATTACAGATGGTACCACAAAGTTCTCACAGACTTGAGATGGAAAGAGAAGACTTTGCACACTTCCTGAGAGGGGCTTTGGGGCACACAGATGTCTTTTAAATACCCTGAGTTCTGCTTTAGACCAGTAGCCCTATTTTACAGACAGGGAAACTAAGGCCCCTCCAGGTCTATCATACTACTGACCCAGCCCCACCCACAGCAGCTTAGGGTGAAGGAAACCAAGTGCGTGACAAGAAGGGGGCAGGAAGGAGCCCCATGAGTGGGGCAGGGCTGGTTCTCCTAGCCCCAGCTAGACAGGAGATGTGGGTGGCTTGTTGTGGTGGGCAGGTGAAGAGGTTAGGGGTGGTGAGTGCCTGAGAGAAGGTGAGGGCAGCCTCCAGCAAGGGGCACTGCATGACTGAAAGGCTGGAAGCTGGGCCAGGCACTGTCACTCCACTTGTCAGGCAGGAAGGGGATCCAGGCTGGAGGAATCTGAGGGAGACCTGGAAGTTGCCCTTGAGAGATCATAGCAGGGCGTTCCAGGGACCTGGGCTCCAGGCCTCCCAGCAGTGCTGGAATACAGACCCCTCCCTCAGTGGCCACTAGCCCCTCTCAACTCTGGTCTCTATGGTTTCTGGCTCCTCTGAGGAGAAGTTGTGCCCGGGCTGCAACACCCACCATGTGGACCCAGCAGGTGGATTGTCAGGGAGCCCTTTGGTACTGGTGGAGCCCCCTCACCCTCCCCGTGCCCCTTGCTCAGGCCTCATCTGCACTCAGAGGTAGGGCACAGGTGGTACCTCCTGACACACTCAGAGTTACCGGGCAGAGGCAGAACTCAAGCCCAGAGCGGGACACTCACTGCACCCCAGGGGCCCTGCTTGGGTCTGGACAGTTCTTGGCAGCTCACTCCTCTCTCCTCTCCCTGGAGGGTAGGTGGCCATAGGTGGGTCCTGGGACTGTATGATGGTGAGGGGGGAGCCTACCTGTCCACCTGCCAGGGGGAGGATACTACTAAAGCTGACTGACTTGCTGTCATTGTCCCTGTGTGGAGGGAGGCCTGACCCCTAGGCCCACTCTCCTATCAGAAGGGATAGAGACTCCACTATCCTTCAGATTTCTTTTGGGGGGAGACAGGTGGCAGCCTCTGGACAGAAGTCCAGCTTTAGTGCCTGGAGGGCACAGCTCAGTTTGTCTCTGGGCCCGAGACTCGGTGGCAGTGGGTCTGGGGATGTGTGGGGATTCAAAGAGGCTTCCTCAACCTGCTGCATCTGTGGTTCTGAGACCTGGTGGGTAAGGACCGGTGTGGGGCTTCACAGAAGGATCCAGGACATTGTCCCACCCAGAAACTATACCCATCCCTAGCCATGGCAACCCTGTCCCTTCATGGATTGAGTTACCCTGAGCACAGCCCCACACACCCAGGATTTCCTTGGGTTACCACGACCGGCTCACAGCCTTGGGCTCAGTGGTCACTCTGTCCCTGTCTACCCAGGGCTTCCTGCTTCCAGCTGGCCCATCCCCAGGAGCCAGGGAGAGCACCCCACAGTTGCTGTACAACCCTGGGCACACCAGAACGGGAGATGGTCCTGAGGACCCCTAGCAGCCCTCACTGGGTAGCCCCAGGGGCCACCGGTCATGCCTGGGACCTGTGGGGAAGAGGTGGCAGGGCAGTGGGGACCCCAGGCTCGCTGATGCTGAGCAGAGGCTGGAGCCTGTCCGGGAGGTACCATGGTCGGGCCTTGGCTAGTGGCATGAGGGGAGCCCCAGGCCTGTTTGATCTCAGAATTCCCATGGGCACTGTGGGACCCTACATAGGGAGAGCACTCCTTGGGGCTGGGCAGCTGCACAAGTCCCAGAATGCCCCTTGCTCTCCAGCCTGCCAAGCACTGACAGAGGAGGAGTCCCAGGGCAGCAGGCCTTGGTTGTCTTAGGAAGGGGAGCCAAAGGAGGAACAGGTTCCTGCCATAGCTCTCCTACCTCCTAGAGGCCCTGATCTCTACCTGAGGACTTGGGGGCCCTGGGGACCACACATACTGTGTCCTTGTCTTGGGAATAGTCCTAATCTCCTCCCATGCTCCCGGGCATGGTTTACTACTAGAATTGAGCAAGAGGCCTCTGCTGGGCAGGGGGCATGAACTCTGTGCCAACGTGGGCCTTCAGAGAGAGGCTTAGTGGGTAGTGCCAAGGCCTCACAGGACCCATGGGCAGAGACCCAGAGGATCCAGGGTCTCACTGCCAGCAGGTGCCAGCAACCCCCTGAACTTGACCTGGCTGCTGTCTCCCAGCTCCACAGTCCCACGGGTGCACTCCTGGGGCATGGGGAGGCCCAGGGAGAGGCCTGCGCTAGGGCTTTGATGCCAGGTTCCCTTGTTCACCCCACTCCCTGGTAGCTGCTGGGTGGCCGTGGCCAGTCCCTCCAGTTCTGGGTGATTACTTTTCCTTTTGAGGGGAGAACACACCGACAGTGGTTTTCTGAGGGGCAGAGGGTTGAGGGAGAGGGAGCTGCAGAAGCCTGCCCCCCAGGTCTTACTGCAGTTGGTTTGTACTTGCTTAGCTGCTCTGGAGGGTCCTATTCACTGCAGAAGAGGCTCAAGTAGCTTTTGTTGTTATTTTGGGGAGAGCTAGGGAATAGACCTAGGTCTCATGCATGCTGGGAAGTACCCTACCCCTGAGCTACATTCCCAGCTTTTTGTATTTTGAGACGGAGCCTCACTAAGTTCCCCAAGCTGGAGAAACCTTGTTTTTGGTGATTTTTATCTATTTGGTTTTTGGGTTTTTGTTATTTTAAGATGGGTTTTACTACCATAATCCAGGCTTGAACTCATTACTCTGCTGTCTTGGCCTCCTGAGTGCAGGAATTACAGGCATACACCACCATGCTTGGCCTTAGTTCATGTTTTTAGATGATTCTGTGTGCTACAGAGTGGAAAGCTTCCCTTCTGACCCAGACAGGACCACTGCTACTGATCTCTGATTGATTCTCCAGGAGAACGTGTGTGTGTGTGTGTGTGTGTGTGTGTGTGTGTGTGTGTGTACGCAGTTTTTCACTTTCATCTCTGAAGATGGCAGCATCCCTTGTTACACTGTTCTGTGCCTTTTCTGCCAGCCACTTCCCAGGGCATACTTCCTGCAGTGTGGGCCGGATGGCCTTGGGCTGTTGACAGGTTTCCCCTGTTGACAGCTGCTTTCCATGCTACTTCTTGGGACAGCAGTTAACATGCTGTTCATTCAGCCCATTAATATAGTTACTCTTTCAGTCACTCAGCTAATACTACAGAGCGTAACTTACGTACTGTGAATACAGCCAGGCTCTGGTGGACAGAGGCTTTGATCTAGAGCCACAGATGAGTCAATGAAGGCAACCAAAGGGACCATATGGAGTATGATGGTCCTGCTTTCTGGAGGAGGTGTCATCTCAGCTTTGCCCCGAAGGACAAACAGGAATTAGCTGAGGGTCAGATATGACAGGAGAGGGTGTAGGGGGATTTTGTAATACAGAGAGGGCCTCTTGTCTGTGGGATGAAAGACAGCAGGTGGCAGGCTTGGGGACTCTGGGCAAGGAAAGATTGCAGACTTTGTCCTGAGGCCATGCGAAACTGCTAGAGGGTTCCCAGCAGAGGGTGGCCTGGCCAGATCTTCTCAGAGTCCAGGGTGGCTGTGAGTGGAGGACAGATTGTAGGGCCGAGGGTGGAGGCGGTGCACACGAGGGAAGCATGAGCCAGGGCTCCCACTGTATTTGCTGAGGAGTGGTGGTGGCCGGCACCAGGGAGAGAGGCAGAAGAAGGGCAGCAGGGGCTGAGCAGCCGCTCAGGTTTCTGCCCTGGCCAAGGATGGCCCTGGTGCCCTTGGCAGAGTTGGGCAGGCTGAGAAGGAGCTGTGTGGGAAGGAAGTGAGCTCTGAGTTGAACATCAGGCAGAGACTTCCGGGAGGTAGAGGAATGAAGGGTCTTATGACCCAGAGGGCCCTGTGGGCAGTGGGAAGCGTGGAGTGGGCCACAGGAACAGTGAGTAGAGAAAGAAGCATCTCAGGGTCCCCGTGCCCGAGCCTATCTGGTCCCCTCCTCTAGCCTGAAGTGTGTCTGCCTCCAGGACGGTGAAGCCATCCATCCTCTGTGACCCTTCTCCAGCAAACCCTCCAAATGTCACGGCCTTTCACACCTCAGTGCGCTCTGGTGAGCCCTTGGGCTGTCACCCTTCTACCCTCCACTTGGAGGACTTTAGGAGCTCCCCAGCCCAGCCTCCTAAAAGGTCTCCATAAAGAGCTGCCTAATGACGGTGCGGAGTCCTCCTCCTACTGTGCGGGCAGTGAAAGGCCAGAGTTGAGCATCACACTCCTGAGCAAGTATCAAAAGAGAGGAAGGGGCACTAATCCAATGGACACCTGGCAAAGGTTACAGCTCTGTCTTTTGTCAAAGGTCCTTTACCATGGTCCTGGGAGGTGGGTGTTAACCAGCCCCTTTTACAGAGGGGCAAACTGAGGCTTGCCAGAGGAACAGTGCTGGCGGCTGACTCCCAGGTTGGTGCTAATTCTCCCCAACAGTCTTCCTGGTTCCCATAGCTGACAGGCCTGACCCGGTTGTTCAGCCCAGTAATATTGTTTGTGGCAAATGCCTTATTGCTTCCATTTCCACTGACCAGCTCCCTATTTACCTGCTCTCTTGGGCACTTTACAACCTCAGACCAGCTGTGGAGGACGGGTGAGGGAGTGCAGTGTAGGGAGCCTCTCGGAGGCTCGCTGGCTCATTGGCTTGGCCTGCCACCCCTCTAGCCTCCTGCCCTGCCCAACCCCTTCTCTCCTCCTGCCTGGGCTACTGGCCCTGTGAGGCTCAGTTGTATCTGGCTCCGGGCTGCTGGGATGAAGAGGCTCAGTGGGGAAGGAGAGTCCTGGGGCACAGAGAAGCATGTGACTGGGGCCTGGGCCTCTGCACCCAGCCCAGGGCCACTTTGCACGGCCCCCAGCCCGGGAGGGCATTTCTCCTGGCATGTGGCGCTGCATCCACGCTTCCCCTGCATGGCCATGCCAGGCTGAGGCTGCTGGGGTATGGTGGTGACTCTGGCGTCATGCTCTGAGCCCTGGGTGGATGGGGCAGTGGGGCCATCATCTCCCCTGGCTGGACACATCTCTCTTCAGCTTGTTCAGGCCTCCATTGTCATTACATCTGTCACCAATTACAGGCTGACCTATTCAAGCTTGGGATGCTGCCAAGGAAGGAGGAGAGACTTCTGAGTGCCTCTCCTGTCGCCAGGGTGCTATCCTTGTAGGACCGGGCTCTGGGCTCACAGCAGGAAGTCTTGCCTGTGGGTGGCCAATCTGTGCACTTGGAGAGAGGAACCCTGTAGAGACAGCACTCTGAGGCCTCTAAGCCACCCAGATAGCTGGAAGTGCTCTGTCCCTCAGAGCCAGAGGCCCCCTCCTCCCTGGGGCAGTGCTGCAAGGGCCCCGCTCCCCAGCCACCCATCCCAGCCCCTTCAACTCTTTATGGCTTGGTTTCAGCTTCCTGCTTCCTCACCAACCTGATATCCCCTCTGGACATGGTCCAGTTTATGAATTTCATTCTAAAATAGGGGTTGCAGGGCTTAGAAGCAAGGATGGGAGCTAATATCTGAGGTGTTCCCACTGTGCTCTGTGAATTTTAAAGTCCATGTTTCTTTTCATCTTCCTAAACAGTTATAATGTGCCCATTTTACAGAACACGGAAAGGACACTGAAGCTCCCAGACCCGCCTTTCCTCTCTCCCCTCCTTTCTTCATTGTCACTGAGCACCTACTCAGAACCAGGTCCTCACCTAAGCTAGTCTGAAGGCCCCTCCCCAGCTCCTAGGGAGTCTGGCTTCCACCTGGTGCACATTGCCCCAAAGCCAGTGCTCTTCCTTCAGAGAGGAGCCGGGCAGAGCCTCCTACATGGGAGAGACTGAGTTTGCCTTCCTTTGTTGCCTGCAGACGTACACAGGCTCCATCCTGGTGGCAGTGAACCCCTACCAGCTGCTCTCCATCTACTCCCCAGAGCACATCCGCCAGTATACCAACAAGAAGATTGGGGAGATGCCCCCCCACATCTTTGCCATCGCCGACAACTGCTACTTCAACATGAAACGCAACAGCAGAGACCAGTGCTGTATCATCAGGTGGGTGGCCCAGTGCCAACCCGGAACTCCAAGCTCAGCCTCTTGAGCTGCAGCTCTGTGCTCTGCTAGGGCCTCTAGGATTTACTCCACTGTTGGAAATGCCAGAAAGCTCCTCAGGACCAAGCTGTGCACTTTGTGACAGTGTAGAATCACCTCCCCTCCTGGAGGTCTTCTATCCTGTTAGTGCTACTGAAGATCACGTGAGTTTTGAAGGCCCACTTGTTCACTTACGGTGCCTGTTGAATCACGGCCATGGTCAAATGAAGTCTCAGCCTCCTCTTTTCTCTTGGCCAGAGGGTAAAAGGCCAAAGCACTGACTGACCATCTAATATGTACCCTGTTCCAGGGCAAGTATGGATGGAGGAGTGTCTTAGTTACTTTTCTCTTTGCTGAGACAAAAATACCTGATACCTAAAGTTAAAGGAGGGAAGGTTTATTTGGCTCACAGTTTATAGAGGTTTCAGTCCGTAGTTGGCTGGCCCCAAGACAGGGTGGCAGGGCAGAGGGGCAGAGCAAGCAGAAGGTGGCAGCAGCTATAGCAGCAAGCAACAGTGACCACAGCAGCCCTCTTTCTGTCCCTTACATTCTATCCAGGCTACACTCCCTCAGGGTGAGTAGCACTCACTCCCAGGGTGGGCCATCCCATTATCCACGCCCAGAACTGTGCCAAACCAGTCAGTAGACTAATTTAATAATCACACATACCCTTCACCCCGCAGTACACACTCTAGTCCAGCCACCTCTAAGAACCCCCGGCTATCGCCACATGAGGCTTTGGGGTGGGTGTGGGGACACCAGCCATAATAAAGGGAGCCTAAATGAAGTGACAAGAGTCAACCCTGAGCTCTTTAGCTCTCTCCCGGCCTGGAGGGTCCAGGCTGTCATCCAGGATTGCAGGGAGGGGAGGGAGAGCTGGGAGTGGCAGCCTCAGGGTGTGGCAGCCTGGGCTGAGGACAGCCCCACTTCTCACTCCACAGTGGTGAGTCCGGAGCAGGGAAGACCGAGAGCACAAAGCTGATCCTGCAGTTCCTGGCTGCCATCAGTGGGCAGCACTCATGGATTGAGCAGCAGGTCCTGGAGGCCACCCCCATCCTGGAAGGTAGTGCCAGGGCTCTGAGGGCAGGGCAGGGAGGCTGGGATGGGCCGTCCTTGCCATGACCTCTCCTCACCCTACAGCATTTGGAAATGCCAAGACCATCCGCAACGACAACTCAAGCCGCTTTGGGAAGTACATCGACATCCACTTCAACAAACGGGGCGCCATCGAGGGTGCCAAGATTGAGCAGTACCTGCTGGAGAAGTCACGAGTCTGTCGCCAGGTGGGCCCAAGCCTCAGGATGCTGGATCAGACTCAGTTCCTTCCCTGGGGCAGATCCAGCCTCGGGAGGATGGGTGCCCCCATCTGCATTGCCCTGTATGCCTTCTCTCTGCTGCCCATGCTCTCCTGAGTACCTGATGTCCCCTGGGCTTTCTTCTTACCCCAACTGCTGTGCCCACTCTCAGGCTCCAGATGAGCGGAATTATCACGTGTTCTATTGCATGCTGGAGGGCATGAGCGAGGAGCAGAAGAAGAAGCTGGGCCTGGGTCAGGCCACTGACTACAACTATTTGGCCATGGTGAGGCTCAGGGGACAACCTGGGAATGGGACATGGATCCCAGAAAGGTAGAGTAGAAGCAGGCCACTCCCACAGGACCCCAGCCCTGCTGCAGGCCTGGTGGGTGGGAACTTCCCTGGGGGTCTTCTTTCTCCTGGGCTTGTACATTTCATACTGCTTGGGCACAGGCATCTAAACACATTCTTACAACAGGCACATTCCTAACTGTAGACATCTGACGCGGACACACAGACATGCCCGGCCACGTGTCGATGCACATCCACTTGCCCGCTCACACAGCCACACATTTGACTTGGATCTCTGCCAGGCCTCCCGTGATCCTAGGGAGCTAGATGCTAAGTTCTCAGCCCTGAGGGCTTGCTGGGGTCAGGCTGCTGCTGCTGCTGTCTGGACACCAAGAAGAAGTGGGCCCCAGGGCCGTCTCTGCCGCCAGTCCTGGGTCAGGGGCTCTGGGGCCATGCATACAGCAGACTGGCTTGGGGAGCACTACTTTTGTATCCCTGGGGCGAGCCCAGCAGGGCCCAAGTATGCAACTGTGGGCTACGGCACCTGAGGGAGTGTGTTGTGGGTGTGACAGCCCTTCCTGGACACTTCCACAGTGGGCCGTCACACTCGGACATTCGTACACAGCATGGAGCACCCACTCCTCTGCAGTTTCCACCCCTCTCCACACCAAGCTGCACCTGTGAGAGTTAAGCCCCTGAGAGTGGGTGTCTCCAGGGCATGCAGAAGGCACTGTGGGGCCTTGAGACTGTGACTATCAGGTGGGTGAACAGGCTAGGCCTGGGATCAGGGCTCCTCTCACTCATGGGAAGAAGGGGCATCCAGGACTCCCGGACATGGGAGGTGAGCTCTTGAGAAGCCCAATCAGACGCTCTCTAGACTTTCTGGAGGAGCCTGCTCACGCTAAGGTCCAGGACCTGGAGCCTGACCTGGCAGAAAGGGCCCTTCTGCTCTAGCACTGCCTCTCTGGGATGCCCATGGCCTCACTAACCCCATTTCCCACTCCCCCACCTATCCCAGGGCAACTGCACGACCTGTGAGGGCCGAGTGGACAGCCAGGAATATGCCAACATCCGCTCCGCCATGAAGGTGCTCATGTTCACCGACACGGAGAACTGGGAGATCTCAAAGCTCCTGGCTGCCATCCTGCACCTGGGCAACCTACAGTATGAGGGTAAGGCTGTACCATGTCCTGCCTGCACCAACGGCAGTGCCACACCTGGTGCCCATGGGGTATTGAAAGTGCAGCTTCTGCCCAGCACGTACCCTCATGTGGGGGGAGGGATTCCCCTGCAGGTAGACTTGAAGAGGTCTGCTAGCTTGACATCAGCCTCGGTGGTACTGCTGTGTGGAAATTCCACCAGAGAGATGGACAGATGAGGTGCCCTGGGAGTGGAGCGTGGCCCTTTAAGACCCCTTCCACATTGGTTTCTTCTTTAGAATAGATGTCAGTAAAAGGATAAACCTTTGAGCTAATTCATACTAAGGTCTCCTGAAAAAAGGAAGGCCAGGGAAGGGATGTGTTCACTTCTCTGTCACACCCTGGCGGTCCTGACACACCAGGATGGGAGGTGTCCTGGGTCCCACTCTTTTCTTTTTCTGTTTCCCAGCATGGGTCCTGGGCAGAGTGGGAGCTCTGGGAAATTCACTCAGTGGTCTCAGCAGTAAGGCACTCAGTCTAGTGGGTGTTGAAAGACTAAGAGAAAGGGTGTATCAAGCAGAGGGGAAAGTTGCGAAGATCCTGAGGTCCAGGATAGCAGAGGAAGTTCGGGAAGGGCAAGGTCCCAAAGCTTATCCCAAAGGAGCCAGGGTTGCCATTCAGAGCGCTAAGAGTCTGAAGTGAAGGCTGCACAGGTGAGGGTTAGGGTCACTTGGGTGCCAGGGATGTGCTGGCACACAGGGTCCTTACTCACATGGTGCCCGTGTGGACATTACCAATGCCCTCTGTGACAGGATGGGACCACAAGAGTGGGTGTGGTGACCCAGGCCTCCTAGGCCTGTCCCCACTCCCCTCTGCCAGCTTTCCCTGCCCTGACACTGTACCCTTTGCTTCTGGCAGCACGGACATTTGAAAATTTAGATGCCTGTGAGGTCCTCTTCTCTCCGTCACTGGCTACCGCTGCATCCCTGCTGGAGGTCAGTGCCTGCTTTCTCTGGCCACCCCTGCCTCTGTCCCTGTGAAGATGGTGCTGACTTCAGCTCAGTGGGGCTGGCGTGTGAGAGCTGGGTTGCTGGGAGCCTCTGGCTGGGTGGGTCATGTTCAACACCAAGGACCAGCTGTACACAGGCTCTGTGCTGGACTTGGGTCCTGCATCCTCACTGGCTTGTCCTGACCTGGCTGCCCTGGAATGGTGTAGCCTGGGCCAGGGCCCTGTGACATTCTGGGCTGTGTGTCCCTGGCTGAGTCATTCCTAACCTCTGGGCCCCAGTCCACACATCTGGATAAAGAGCCTACGCCACACACTGTATGTCAAGTACATGGACCGTGTCACTCAGTCACTCAGCAAACACTAGGCTCTAGCCGGGTTGGAAAAACAGAGTGAATAAAGTCAGTCAAGGTGGGTCCTAGAAAGGCAGGTAATAGCTACAGGACATGAGGAGGTCTGTCTGGGAGAGGAACCCTTCCAGGAAACATCTGGATAGCTTTTGATTGTTGGGAGGGTTGGCTGTGGCCATGGGGAGGGGGGGTTCTGTGCCGAGGGTATAGTCTGAGCCAGTTTGGAAAGGGCGGGAGTTCAGGGTGTCAGGGTGAGTACTGGGTGTGTCTGTACCAGGTGAACCCCCCAGACCTGATGAGCTGCCTGACTAGCCGCACCCTCATCACCCGCGGGGAGACGGTGTCCACCCCACTCAGCAGGGAGCAGGCGCTGGATGTGCGAGATGCCTTCGTCAAGGTGGGCTGCCATGGAGAGGCTGCCTCTCTCTGTCCCTCCAGGGGCTGGGTTGCTGGCACACAGGACTGGGGGGTCCTTCGTGTTGGGTCCTGCCCTCAGGTCCTTGACCCTGGGCCTGCTCTGATCCACTGCTCCGCAGAAGACAAGGAGCTGGCTGGGTCAGGTGGCAGGGCCTCCAGTCCCCCCTGTTTCTGTGGTCACACAGTTACCACTCCCTGAGCCCTCAACCTGTGCCAGGCCTATGCTGGGCTCTGGGACCTTTGAGCTATTCAGAAAGATGGGGGAGACAGACGAGCTGAGGCTGGAGCCCAAAGATTGCTCCTTCCCAGCCCGCAGGGCTAGGACAAGGGCTCAGAGGAGCTGCTACCCAGAGGGAGCTTTGACAAGGCGCAGGGGCTGTTCAGGCAAGAGAGGGTGCTAGGGTGACCACAGCAGCTCAGTGCTCCACAGCTGGGCTAGAGTGAGGCCACAGTGGTCCCCATGAGACAGTGTGGCTGATGTGGCTGCCTTTCAGGGTATCTATGGGCGACTCTTCGTGTGGATTGTGGACAAAATCAACGCTGCAATTTACAAGCCACCCTCCCAGGAAGTGAACTCCCGCCGGTCCATCGGCCTCCTTGATATCTTTGGGTTTGAGAACTTTGCTGTGAACAGGTACCATGTGGGGCTCTGCTCACTGGGAAATGTCACATCTCTCCCTTTAAGCCACATGGAGCTTGCTCCTTGCACACAGTTCCAGGCCGCTGGGAATTTTGACTTCAGTCACACTGGGGGCCTCTCTGCCTTCTTTTCTCTTCCTCTCCCTCTCTCCCTCCCCTCCCCAGGGTCAGCCAAGGGTGCCAGGTGGTAAAGGAAGGCCCTTACCCTGTCTCAGAAACTTGGAAGGCAGCCTCTGGTGTCCCGCCCCCACAGCCACTGCTGACTGCCCCAATCTTGGCTGCAGGCTGCCTTGAGGCGCACAAGGCCTGAGCCAAGCTGAGCATTAGGGTCTTAGCCACCCTGAGCACCTACACTCTTGGGGGCCATGTGAGGGACTGAGGGATGCAGCAGGCACAGGTGCATCCCGGGGCTGGAGGTAGCCAGCCCTGCCCCACTTCCCAGCGGTGTGACCCCTGGTGAGTCACTTTAGCTCCTGTAATGCACAGATGTCACAGATCCCCCTGTCCCTTACCAAATAACCCAAGCCCCATCCCCCCAAAGCTTAGCTGGGTCATCAGTCAGGCTCTGCCGACCCAATCTTGCCATCCCCTTCCTTCCCATCTTTCCACACTTTTGCTGTCTCTTTACTGCCCGCCTCATGCTCTCATGGGTTCCCTGTGCAGTCTGGTGATGCAGGAAAAGAGGCCTGAGCCCCATCTCCCAGCCTAGCCTCTCCTCAGACTCCGAGTGACCTCAGGGAAGTCTTTGGCCTTTGCTGGGCCCCAGCATCTTCTGTAGGTAGAGAGTTGGGCTTGACCGTCTCACCCCTCCTTGGGGGCTGGAGGGTCCACGACGGGGGTGACTTGCTGAGGGTCGTGCTGCAGGCAGAGTCAGAGCTGGGCACTGAGCAGCATCCCACACAGTCCCTGCACCCCTGCAGCTTCGAGCAGCTCTGCATCAACTTCGCCAATGAGCACCTGCAGCAGTTCTTTGTGCGACACGTGTTCAAGCTGGAACAGGAGGAATATGACCTGGAGAGCATCGACTGGCTGCACATCGAGTTCACAGACAACCAGGATGCCCTGGACATGATCGCCAACAAGCCCATGAACATCATCTCCCTCATCGACGAGGAGAGCAAGTTCCCCAAGGTGGGATCCCACCGCTGTGGCTGCCTCCCACTGCTTGGGGAGCAGGCAGGTCCCTTCTCCACTCTGAGCCTTGCTTTCCTCACCTTCAAAATGACACTAGTGACACCAGCCTCTCAGGGGGCCTCTGGACTAATTTCAGGGCAGTCACCTGACAAATGGGAATCCATTAGCGTCTGCTCCATACCAGGCCGAATAATGAAGATCTAAGCACACAGCTGGTGCAGATAGGTGCTCAAGACGGAGCACATGTCTTAAAGTGTAGAAGGGTGGTTGCTGCCAGGATTCGAATCATAGGGAATCAACGTTGCAGTTTGAAATGTGTTTTCAAGGTTGTGTGGCTCCAGTGAAGGTTGTGTGCCCACTTAACAGATAGAGCAGTGAGAGCCCAGAGTGCTCCTGTGTGGGTATAAAGTCATTACAAGGGTGCAAAGACATGGGTTGAAAAGGCAGCAGGGTCTGGGGAGGGGCAGCCTGGCAGTGGCCCCTCTGCTCCCACAGGGCACCGACACCACCATGTTGCATAAGCTCAATTCCCAGCACAAACTGAACGCCAACTATGTGCCCCCCAAGAACAACCATGAGACCCAGTTTGGCATCAACCACTTTGCAGGTGTCGTCTACTACGAGACCCAAGGTATGAGAGGGCTGTCTGTCTGTCTGCCTGTCTCTGCCTGTGCCTGGCCTTCCCCATGCCTATTCCAGGAAAAAGACCTCCAGGTCCCTTTCAACACTGAGAGGAGGAGAAGGGGCTTGGGAAACGTGGTGCTCAGCATTTGTCTTTTGTTTTTTGAAAGGATTTTTTGAATATACATTTAAAAATTGTGGTAAAGCATATATAAAATTTACCATGTTAAGTGTATAATTCAGTGGCATCAAGTACATTTACAAGGGTGTGCAAGCTGTCAGCACCATTTCCAGGGCCTTTTTATCACCTGACATGGAAGCTCTGCACTGACCACCAATAACTTGCATCCTTCTCCCACTCCCCAGCCCCACGTCACCTCCATTCAACTGTGAATTTGACCATTCTAGGTACCCGCTATGAGTGGGATCATACAGAACTTGTCTCTTGTATGAGGCTTATTTCACTTGTGTGTTTTAGCCAGGACCAATTCCTTTGTTTTTTGGCTGTCATATTCTCTTGTGTGGCTGTCATATTCTCTTACATGTCCGTCTACTAACTGGCCTTTCGGTTGTTTCCACCTTTTGGCTAGTGTGAGTGGTGCTGCCTTGAGCACTGGAATACAGAGTCTATTTGAGTCCCTGCCTTCAGTCCTTTTGGGGGGCAGTGCTCTGCGAAGATGAAGAAATAGGCTCAAAGGGGGCTTGACCTGGCACATCCGACCAGATGCACAACCAGGTCGAGAATTAGTCCTGTGACCCACCAGACTCTCCCAGCCACGAGGTCAGGTGTCATTGTAGAAGGGAATGCACCCACATCTTCTTTGCTCCTGGGGACGAGCAGCATCTAAGCTAGATGTTAGGAAGAGAGCCACGTCTCTGTGTCACCTACCATCTGGGGTAGCCCGAGTCCTCTGCTCTGTGGTGCTACTCTCCAGGCATCCTCAGCGGTGGGCACCCCATCCTCTGTGCCACCCTAGCAGAGACCCTGCTGACAAGTTCCTACTCCTCAGTCCCTGTGAATGGGAGCCTCCTCGGGAACTCTGTGGTGCAGGGGACTTCCCTGAGTTCAAATCTTAGCTCCAGCCTGGATTGCTGTGCGGAACTGGACAACTCTCAACTTCCCCCCTTGTGAGATGGGGAAGATAATCCCTGCCCTCACCGCACATGCAGGGGCTGTGAGGCACTTTGTCGAATATGCTGTACTCTCCAACTATGGGACAGTTGTAATGAGTCCCTTTACTGTTAGCTGGTACTGGACCAACGTGATCCAACAGACATGCTTACTTAACAGGGCTTTGATATCTTAATTCAAAAGACCCTTAGTTTCTTTGAGGTGGTTCAGTCAGGGAGGTGGCTCCTCTCTCCTGGAGACCAAGACCTCCTGCCCTTCTGGGACCATCCTGGAAAGATGGCTGTGTGGTTGGGGAGATGGCTTCTTACTTTCTCTGTGATCTTGGGCAAGGTGTGCCCCACTGTGAAACGAATATGATTAAACTGGGTGGATTTTGAGATCCTCCTGGCCCAGACATTGTGGATCTGGGAGAGGCTTGAGTCTTGCGGGTGCAGAGCTGGTAAGATATGACTGCTCTTTGCCACTGCCCAGGCTTCCTGGAGAAGAACCGGGACACCCTGCATGGGGACATCATCCAGCTGGTCCACTCCTCCTGGAACAAGTTCATCAAGCAGATCTTCCAGGCCGATGTTGCCATGGTAAGGCTGCTGCTCGGGATTCTGCTGCATGGGAGGGGAATCCCAAAGCCAGGCCCTGCCCTTTCTAACAGTTTCACCTGGGCCTCTGGGCTGCAGAGCAGGGACAGTGGGGCTTTGCTGAAATTCCAGGACAGGCTGGAGAGACTCTGGCATACTCCCCTCTGGTCCTCTTGTGCCCATTTTGAGGTGTGGCTGGGACACAAGTCCCAGAGAAGAGCCATATGAAAGGTCACACAGCTGAGCCTGGTCAGAATTCACTTTGCCCCTGGTCCTCCAGCAGTTAACAGGAATGAAAGGATCCGGCCTCAAGGATACAAGATGGGTATGGCAGTCATTGGCACAAGGGGTATGAGTACCACCTTGGACCCACATAGATGGCAGAAGACTGTCCCTTATCCCCAGGCCCCAGCTGGCTTTTGGTGGACTTTCCTTCTGCAGGGTTGTTTACCCTTTTTATGTTTTCATTTTTACTTTTAGCAGTGCTGGAGATCAAACCCAGGGCCTCACACATGTTCAGCAGGTGCATACCCCTGACCCACATACCTAGCCTGCCTTTTCATCTCATATTTCCTCCTGCCCCATGGCTCCCTGGAGGTGCCATGGAAAGGTTTTTTTGGGGAGCGGATCCCCATCCCTCAGGCACTATGCAGGTGCCCAAGCTACCTCAGGGCTGCTCCCGGTCACAGAGCGGCCAGGACCCCAGATCTACCCAAGACCTACCTCTCTCCAGGACAGATTTCACCCTCTTCCTCAGCCCCTCCCTGCCTTCTCACCTGCCTGTGGTTCCCCTTATAGTTTCTCTGTGGTTATTCATCCGGCAGTCTCCGCCAGGCAGCGGCTTCTGCAAAGGTAAAAGCCCCGGCCTGGGGCCTAGTGGGAGAGGCCCGGCCCCCATGGGTAAAGGGCTGGGCTTTTGCTACTTTTTTGGAGTGTGCTTTTTGGGTTTTGCCTTTGCTTTTGGTTTGGGTGAAGTGGTTTTTGTTGTGATTTTTGGTTTTGGGTTCTTGTTCTTGTTGTTGTTGTTGTGTGTGCCACAGGCATCTCTGTTTCTAAAAGGGAGAGACTGAATCCTGAGAGGGCAAGACTTGCTCAGGTGCTCTGTGAACCAGGGCTGGGACTTGAAGCCAGGTCTCCTAACCCCTCTGCCCCACTCCCCTGAGTCTCCTGCTTCTCCCACCAGTCTTGGTGACTTGGTCAGGTCCTCTGATAATCTTGCGAGGTGGAAGCACATGAAGTCTTTCCTGCATTTTGCTGATGGGGAACTGAGGTCAGAGAAGGGCTGTGATTCACCCCAGTCACAGCATGCTGGGGCTAGGAGCCACCACTGCTTGGGCACCCTGATTGCTGCTTTCAGGGCGTGGCTCCCACGTGCCTCAGGTCCCACAGGTGCGCCATGCCCTCAATAAGAGCATGGCTCTGACTCCCTTTCTCAACCCCAGTTCCCTCTCTGCCCAATGCTGACACCCCCTACAATTTGCCTGATGCTGAGCCCCTCTTCTCCCTGCTGCCAGCCCCTCACAGAGCTCTGGAGAAGTTCACAGCACCCCAGCAGCAGAGCAGGACACCCAGCCTGCCAGGAGCAGGGAGCTTGTCGGGACAGTGGCTGTTCTCCTTGGCCCAAGGTTTACTCTGGTCCTCCCCAACCCCAGCCCCTCACACCAGATAATGGGGTGCACATAGGGCTGACCTCAAGGAGAAGGCTCCCAGGCATTTGAAGCTCTAGAATCTGGGAAGGTTCTGGTCCAAAGCCCACATGTTTAGGGTCACACTGGAGAGAGACGTGTGTACCTGTGGGCTTTCACCCACTCTTCTCCTCTTGTTCCCCTGCCCCATCACTCTAGTTTGGTTTTGGTTTGGTAGTCTGGATGAACCTGCCTATTCTCCCATCCTGCCTCTCTCTCCTCTATCTCTCCAAAGTTCCCAGAAGCACCCAGGGCCTCTCCATGTGCTTCTGTTCTGAGGCTCCCTCCTCCCTGAGGGCAGGACCCATTTTCGGAGGACCTGTGTGGAGGTCCAGGCACAGAACCCCGAGCTGCCCAGAAGAGACCCACTCCTGAGGGCAGAGAGTTAGGATAGTAGTGACCGATTTGACGCCAGTCACTTCTCCTGGGTACCTCTTCTGAGCTAAGCACATTGCCGCCTCAATCACCTCACTGATCCCTGTGGGTAATTATAGCGCTTCCCTAACTTTACAGCTAAGGAGCCTGGGATACAGGGAGGCAAAGGGGACTTGCTCATAGTCATACAGCTTGTGACACAAGAATCAGAATGCAGCTGTCTGTCTCAGGGCAGCGCAAGGCTTTGTGACATACAAGTGAGGACCAAAGTGAGGTTTTCCAAGCTTTGCATCATCCTCTGCCAAATCTGTAAGTGTCACGTCCAGGAAATAAAACTGCTTTGTAATTGCTAGACATATGATTACTCGTCTACAAGAGGAAGGCCATCAGCTTGGTTAATTGGAAACACTGAGTCATAGTTTATTTGATGGCAATGCTGTTGTCATAATGCTCTTGGGATGAAAGCTCACAGCACTTCCTGTCACCTAGTGCCCATCTGTACAGGTCCCCAGCCCCAGAGTTTTCATCCTTTGGCTGCTGCATTCACCTCCCCAGTGCCCAGGGCCCCCACCTACCCACCCAGCTATCCCCGATGAAGGAACCAGGGAAGCCTAGAGGAGGGCAGCTCTCCCACGGCTGGGGTGTTCTCTGATTAATGTCTGACCCCAGCCACATGTCCTGGGCCCTCTGTCCACAGGATATCTGCCTATTCCTTATACAGACAGCTTGCTACCTGTCACTTGTCTACCCTCGCCAGGCACCAACATCATGCTCAGGTGCCTTCCCTTAGTTCCCCTTGATGGAGCCATTTAACATCGATTCAATCTGTACCCCATTCCAAAACATCTGAAGATTCTTCCAGAAAACAATAAATACCAGGAAGAATGGCCTTTCCCTCAAAGAAATAAAACTGAATCAGAAGCCCAAATGACAAAGGATGTGTGGGCAGACCCCACAGCCTCATAGGCCCTGTTCATTCATTCACTCATTCAATCTGCAAGTATTTATTGAGGGCCCATTATACGTCCAACACTGTCCTAGGCCCTGGTGACTCAGTAGTGGACATGAGAAATATTTTGGCAGAAGGAGGGAACAGTAAGCTAATAAATAAGTAAAACATGCTGGATGGTATAAGTGGTACAAAGAGTGGGAGGCAGGAATGAGGTGCAGGGGTCAGGGAAGGCTCGCTGAGAAGATGGCAGGATCCAGGGACACCAGCCCTGTGCATCGAGACGAAGGGCTTTGCAGGCGAGGGAATGCTGTGTGCAAAAGACCTGAGGTGTTCTTTACACTCAGCCTGCCTGGTGTGTCCTAGGCAGGGCCAGGAGCTGGAGTAGCTGGAAGGAGGTCAGCAGGTGCTGGAGAGCAGAAGTCTGGGGCACTGTGGGTCCTCGTGAGGACCTTGCTTTCCTTGGAGTGAAGTAGGAGTCGCTGGAGGACTTGGAATAGGGAATCAGGTTCTGGAGACAGTTTGAAGGTGGAGTTGGGTAGAATTTGCTGACACACTGGATGTAAGAGGATGCATGGAGGGTGCTTCCTCAGTTTGGGGCCTGACCAGAAGTTTCTGCAAGTCCAGGGACAATGCTAGGAACCAGTTCCATGGCACATCAGTTGAATGAAGGGTTGATTGGTACTTGTAACAGCCCTGGTGCCACAGTAGTAAAAGAGGCTGACCAGCCTGTCCTCAAGGGGCTCACGGCCTGGCAGAGGAGACAGACACAAAGCAGTATTTCCAGCATGACTGAAACCAAAGAAAGGGGTGTGTGTGAGTGTGCGCGTGTGTGTGCGCGTGCGCACATATACATGTAGTGTGCGTGTTCTATGTTGCCTGTGTACTCCCAGCAGGGCTCTATCCCAGCTGGGTACAATCCAACCCAGATAGCCCCAGGAGGGAGGTCACCAGTGCTGCTGCTGGATTGATTCACTGACAACCCAGGGGCCCTCTTCCAAATAAAACTAAAATAGAAAACACTCATATTTTAGAATTGTGAACATTTGCTCTTTCTTGGTGGATTTCATTAGTCGGGGGCACACTGTCTAAATTTAGCATGGGCTAAACTCCTTTGTCCCCAAATGCCTCATACATCTACAGCTACACCTCTGACTTTAGATGCTATAGGATATAAGATGAACTTACAGTGGTAAAAAATAGAAAACCTTATAATAATGATCAAATTCACTAAGAAATTCCCACCCTAATGAAAGTCCCCAGGAAATCAGTGGCATGAAAATGTGCGGAGTCGAACCCAAGCACTACATCCGGTTTCTATCAGCCAAAGGTTCCCATCCTATTTGTTCTTAGGCCCTCTCCCTTGAATTTCATAATATTCTAGAAGAGAACCCCTAACAGGGCAGAGAGGTGCAGCGGGGTGGCTGACTGGTCCCCCAGCAGGAGCTTAAGACGATTACCCAGGGCTGCCCTACCCACACCCCAGTCTGCTGCCCAGGGCTAATCCCACCACAGGCCATCTGCCTACCCCCTCACTCTTCTTCCCCTCCCCCACGGTTCCTAGAGGTCAGCAACCATCCCAAGTTGCTGTTTACTGAAACACACCCTGACCTCTGACCCTCTTCTCTGCCCTGTCTGGTGGAGACATGACATTATTTTCTACTTTGGTGACTGAAGCTCAGCGCCATTTGGTGATCTGCCCAAGGCCACACAGCTAGGAAGCAGTGCGCCAGGGTTTGATCTTAGCTTTGCACAGCTCCCGTCCCTAAAATGACCCCAGTGTCCTGAGGTGACCCGTGAGACTGAAAGGGGCTTGCCAGGAGTGCTGCAGCAAACCAGAGCAGGAAGGACCTAAGGGTACCTGGGAGGTCCTGGTAGACTCCCTGGAGGGGGGCTTCTGAGATCCAAGCTCTAGCTCAGAGTAGGGAAAGGGGGTCACAAGGAAACCCTGATTACCCAGCTGTCTTCCTCAGCCCTGACCCAGCTGACCTCCCCTCCAGCTTCCGTCCCCTGTTGGAGGGCGGGAGAACTAGCCGCAGCCCCTCCCATCGCAGTCTGTCCATCCCCCCAGGGCGCCGAGACCAGGAAGCGCTGGCCCACACTCAGCAGCCAGTTCAAGCGGTCGCTGGAGCTGCTGATGCGTACGCTGGGCGCCTGCCAGCCCTTCTTCGTGCGCTGCATCAAGCCCAATGAGTTCAAGAAGCCCATGGTGAGTGGACCCGGCCAGGCAGGGATGAGGGGGCATGGGAGAGGGGTCAGGGTGGGATGAGGGTAGGAGGGTGATGCAAGATTTTGTCCTGTTTGGGGGAATGGTGGGCACTTGTGGACTTATAAAAGACCCCCATTTGCTTGAAGTGCAGGTGCACTGGAGAGAGCAGGTAGAAGTTTTGGCTCTGCTACCTCCAAGCTGGGCAACTGCAGACAAGTCAGTCACTCCTCTTAGGCCTCAGTCTTCCTGTGGTTAGGAACAGGACCCATCAGACCCATCCCCGGGCACGTTCCACGCAATGGTGCATGTAGGCTGCCCGACACCTGGAGGGTGCTCAGTGGATGGCCACCCACCTCCTCCTGGAAGCCCCTGGTTCCTCAACTGGGACCCTTCTCATTTTGACCCTTAAAAATAAGATTTGTCAGGGCCGGGGATTTAGCTCAGTGGTTCGGTGGCCTGCCTTGCAAGCGCAAGGACCCAAGTTCAATCCCCAGTACCAAAAAAAAAAAAGGATTTGTCGGGTGCTTTGTCTGTGCTTGGCATAGCCTCATTCAGCTTTTCCAAACGACCTCTGAGGAGGAGCCCATGTCCGGGCTTGGAGATGCAGGATGGGGGCTCAGGGGCGGTAAGGGTTCAAGCCCAGACCCCAGAAGCCCTCTCCTTCCACAGCCAGGCTCTGAGGGGTGTTGTTTACCCAGAGGCCTGGGGGAGGCCCAGGGGAAGCTGGGCCATGGGGTCTGGGGCGGGAGGGAAGGAAGGCGGGGAAAGTGGCCCTGACGGAGAGGAAACAGACGGCGGAAGCTGACCATCCGCACACACTGTCCCCGACAGGAAATCATTTCCCAGCACGGGTGAGGCCTGTCCCCTTTAGGATGTGGGTCTGAGGGGCAGAGGGCTCTCAAGCTCACAGTTGGGAGCCCAGAAGGACTGAGGCCAGTTGGGTACCAGTTCCCTGGCCCTGAGATGCCCTTCTCTCAGCTCAGAACTTGGCATCTGTGGCCTAGACCTTGGCAGCAGTCTCAACACTGGTCTCCTGCCTTCCCTCCTGTTCTGCCCCCTGCCTCCCACTATCCCTTCTGCTGCAGTGACAATGTTCTCAAATGCAAATTCAACCCTGTCTCTCCCTGCCCCCAGCCTTCCCTGGCTCCTGTCAGCCCGGGATGAGGCCCAGTCTTCCTCCCTGCCTCTGAGTCTCACTGCCGCCCCAGTGCCTGCCTTCTGCTTTCCCTCACCATCCCTTCCCTGAACCCCAGGCTGGCTCTGCCCTGCAACCATCACAGCAAACAAACAAGCAAACAAACAACTTTGTAAACCCAGCAATCCCAGAAGCTGAGGCAGGATGATTGAAAATTTGAGCTCAGCTCAAGCAACTAAGTAACATAGGGAGACCCTGCCTAAAAAAATAAATAAAACAAAAGGCGCTGGGGATATACCTCAATACCAAGGCCCATTGTTCAATCCCCAGTACCACAGAAACAAACAAATGAAAATAACAACTTCGTGTGAATTACAAAATGTGTCTCTTGTTGAAAGTATTGTTGGATCAGGTTCATTGGCAAACCAGAGGGGCCACAGATCCGACGGACACATTTTCCTCAGAATGTAGAATGTTGTCTGAGTAGCCATGAATCCATGATGGCAGCCACGGAGCAGCGCTCCCAGGGTTTTGCAAAACACCCACCGCCCCCTCCCCCGTGCCCTTGGCTCTGTGCTTGGCAGCTATTTGACCGGCACCTGTGTGTGCGCCAGCTGCGCTACTCCGGCATGATGGAGACCATCCGGATCCGCCGCGCTGGCTACCCCATCCGCTACAGCTTCGTGGAGTTTGTGGAGCGGTACCGAGTGCTGCTGCCCGGTGTGAAGCCCGTCTACCAACAGGTGCGGGGGAACTGTGCGCCGACTGTGGGAAGGGAAGGTCCCAGGTCACACACTGAGGCGGTGAGCTGACCCTGACATCTGCTCAGCCACCTCGAGTACTGCTGGGAAGAGTGGGGCTGGGCAGCGGGACACCACAGGGCTCCTGACGCCATGGCAGTTGTCATCACACTGAGACAGGGGAAAGTGGGACCTGGCTGGGATCACACAGCAAGGACACTGAGAGGTCTTCCCGCTGGCAAATCCGCCCATTCTTTTGTGTCCCATCCCAGGGCGACCTCCAGGGCACATGCCAGCGTATTGCTGAGGCTGTGCTGGGCACCCATGATGACTGGCAAATCGGCAAAACCAAGATCTTTCTGAAGGTGAGTATGGCGGGCCTCTGCCCAGGTCTGCTCTGGGGCTGTGACCTCCCATCGAGGGTGGGGCCTGAGAGGTTGCACGTGGCTGGGTAAGTCCTGCCTGGTCACAGCCCTGACCCAAGTTATAAGCCGAAGGTCAGAAGCCTTTTGTCTGTTAGCAGCAGGGGGCCTGGATTCAAATCCTAACCCTGTTTGTCAGCACTGGGACTTTGGACAAGTCACTGACCATTTCTGCTTTCTTCTGTCAGTAAAATGGAATGGGCTTGAGGTGGTCCAGGGTCTGTCTGAGCTGTGGTTTCCTGCCAGGCAAGCCGTGGTCAGCAGTGTGCCACCCATCTGTAGCTCTGTCCCAGGCTCCCTGAGTGCAGCAGCTTGGGCTCCTGGTGCTCACAGCTGCCTGGGTGGTGGAGGAGGGGCAGGAAGCTGGTCCCGGGGAGCTGTGGCCTTGGAGAACTTGCCGGGAGTGGGCCGTGCCAGGACAGCTGCAGTGGGGACAGCGTGGGCTTCTCCGTTTCCATTTCCGCTGTGCTAGATTTCAGGCTGTCCTGGGTGGCAGGGCAGGGCTCCTGGCGGGGGTGGGGCTGGGGCCATAGCTAGAACGGCTGTCAGAGGAACGGGAGGACCCAGCCCACGGCTGGGGAGTTTAGGAGCTATCTGGGCTTTCCTCCTTCACAGCCTAGGAGCTTTGGGTCAGTCCTTCACCTCCCCAGTCCCTCATCTCCTCACTGAACAAATGTGCCAATGTCCCCAGCTACAGGCCGGAGAGCACATTGTCTATGCCACGTCTGAGTGGGGCGTTTCTTCTGTGACCTCGCTTATTCCAACACCTCTGTGGAGTAAGAAGCATTCTGGCCCTTTCGTAGACCCAGAGAGGAGGAGCGCACGGCCCGAAGTCAGGCAGCTGGGAAGCAGAGAGCAGGGCTGCCAGCCGGTGATAGCCTCGTGCCCAGCCCTAGTGCCAGCAGAGGAGGGCAGGAGGGAAGCATGGTGGCATCTGACACCAGAGAACCCAGAGAACTGTCCTCACCCTCATCCCTCTGGGCTCTTCGGACGTGGTGGTGTTTTGAGAATAAAGGGGTCGAGTCTCATTCGTTTATTCATTCGTTCATTGGTTGCGATGAAATCCTGGGCTGAGTAGCTCCGCTCCACCATTCCCTGTGTGTCTGTGATGGTTTGATAGATTTGGCTCCCCTGTGAGATTCTCACCTGCCTAAAGGCAGAGGCCTGTCTACCTGGGCCACTGAGACACTACCCTGGCATCTAGCTCGGTGCCGGCACACAAGGACATGCCATGCCTGTCTACTGAATGTACCAAGAAAGTCGTCCAGCTAGAGCGAGGGCTGGGAAGGGCGAAGAAGAGAAAGGGCTGGAGGTATCAGTGGGGCCTGGGTCACCGTCAGGGTTGTTTAGGAGGGTTGATTGGGCTGAATGTAAGGGAGGGCCAGAGGGGAAATGGTAGGGCCAGGAAACCCTTGGGGAGGAGGCTGTTCTTAAGGTTCTGGGGAGTAAGGACAGTGGCCTAGCCAAGGCTCCTGGGATATCTAGCAGTGCAGGGCAGGGCAGAGATGGCAACGGGCTGGGATGTTGATTCCTCTCATCCCATCCAGTGAAATGAGGCTCTTATTGCTCCTTTGGTCCCACCAGGGGCCCTGGGAAACAGCCACAACCTTTAGTGACGACAAAGGCTACTCCATGGGCCTGAGCAGGCCTGGGAGCCTGTGAGGCCCCACTGGGACCTGGGCCCTGAGTGAGGGCAATTGAGTGCCCACCTGGGACCAAGCTGGTGCTCTTGGAGGAGGCTGATTGAGAACTCTATCTTCCAGGACCACCATGACATGCTGCTGGAGGTGGAGCGGGACAAGGCCATCACTGACAGAGTCATCCTCCTCCAGAAGGTCATCCGGGGGTTCAAAGACAGGTGTGTGCCCTGACTAGCTCCTGCCACCTTGGCCGTGTGCACACGAAATGTGCGACCACTACTCCCCGACATGAACACCAGGAATAAAACACACACCCAGAAACAAGCACAAGCACACATGGGATGCACTCATGGTGCCCATCGTTCACCCTCCTCTGTTTTCTCCACCTCTTAGCAGGAACCTGCTGTCTAATGTGGGGAACCTCTGTCATCCATTGGGCTGGAGATGCCTGTTAATGTGGAGAAGGAGGCTACTGCGTATTGGCAGGAAAACAGGGCTCCTCGGAGTCAGAGACACACAGGCTGTTATCCCAACCTCAAGTCTTAGCTTCCTTGTCTATAAAATGGTGAGGTTTGAAGGTTCAGAGCTCTCAGTTTTATGTTATTTCATTTATTAATTTGTTCACACATTTATTCATTCAACAAGTACCTTAATGGGCTTATGTGACAAGCCTGTGAGCTAGGAACGGCAGGCATTAAACTACCCCTTTTCCAGATGAGTATGCTAAAGCACAGAGAGGTTCTGTGCCTTGCCCAAGGCCATGTCACAGAGCTAAGGCCTGTGATTCCAAGCCACCTGGATCCTGGCTGCCTCCAGGCCCCAGCTCTCTGCTCTGGGATTTACCCCATCACTGCTACCATTTCAGGTCCAACTTCCTGAAGCTGAAAAATGCTGCCACACTGATCCAGAGGCACTGGCGGGGCCACAACTGTAGAAGGAACTATGAGCTGGTGAGCCTCCTCACCGGCTACTCCTCACAGGCCAGCCTTTGAACCTGGCCTCGTTGCTATGGCAACAGGACTTAGCTGCCCTGAGGCGGCTTGCCCCAGCCGGCCCCTAGCTTCCCTCCAGCCAAAGTCCAGATCTAGTTCTGTGGTTCTTTTCAACTGGTCAGTAATGCTCATTGCTTTTCTTCTAGTATGTTTTGATGAGTTGTAGTTATTGGAGACCTCAAAGCAGCCAGAAGTGGCTAGGTCACGGGTGGCCCCTAGGAGGAGCCTGGACTTGGGGTGGGAGGTAGACAGGAAGATGACTGGTTGGTTATAGCTCCTGGTCCAGGCTGGGGTCACTTAGGGGCCCATCTCAGAGAATGTCAGGGCAACCCCTAGGAAACTTTCCCTGCCAATGGAAGGCGCCCTGAAGGACAGGGCCATTGACTCCTGTAAGCAGAGACTAAGCCTTGCCTTGGGGGTGCCAGTCCACCAGTAGAGGCTCTTGTGGCAGGGGCCATCCAGGCTGGGGCACAGTTCCAAGCATGGGCCACATCCTTGCAGATGCGCCTGGGCTTCCTGCGGCTGCAGGCCCTGCATCGCTCCCGAAAGCTACACCAGCAGTACTGCCTGGCCCGCCGACGCATCATTGAGTTCCAGGCCAGATGCCGGGCTTACCTGGTGCGAAAGGCCTTCCGCCACCGCCTCTGGGCTGTGCTCACTGTGCAGGCCTATGCCCGTGGTATGATCGCCCGCAGACTACACCGGCGCCTCAGGGCTGAGGTGAGGGCCCCTATCCTCAGAGTTGTGTGCAGCCAAAGCCTGGGGCTATCCTGCCATGAGAAGTACATAAGGCTGGGACCAAATCCCCCAACCCTCCACCTTCTAAGCCACAGGCAGGACTGGGGCCCTGGTCTCCCATGTGTCTTCAGGAGGCCAAGGCAAATCTTGTCTGGCTTTGGGGTCCCTAGTGTCTCCACCCACATGTGACCTGAAGAACATCTCAGCTGCCGGTTTCCGCATCTGCTAAAGTACTCAACAGAGTCATTCACAGGTCCAGAACTCAGGGAGGGGGTAGAGGTAACCGGAAGCACTGTGACAAATGCCACATCTGATGCCTATCCATCTTTCTTTCCTCAGTATCTGCGGCGCCTTGAGGCAGAGAAGATGCGGCTGGCAGAGGAGGAGAAGCTCCGGAAGGAAATGAGTGCCAGGAAGGCCAAGGAAGAGGCAGAGCGCAAACATCAGGTGAGCTGCGGACCCAGGAGGGCCTCCAGTGTCTGCTCACTGGCTCTTCACTTTCCTCCATTGCCGGCCACTGTCAGCTGTCCCTGTAACCCTCCTCCCACTCCAGGCCCATCAGTCTCTCGGGGCTGGATCTGAGCCAGGTGAAAGGGTAGAGAGACAGGGCTCCAGAGCAAGAGGGCCCATGCCCCTACCCAGCCTGCTATGCTGGGGATAAAGAGCCTGATTCATGGACAGCACCAAAGGCCATGAATGTGGCCTAATTTGGGGGCCACCAGCCGTACCTGCTACTGACGGGTGAAGTGTGGTTCATCCCAGGGGCATGGTACTATTAAGAGTGAAATACACACTAGCTTCTGAAGATTTAGTGAGGAGAAAGGATATATAATACCTCAATATTATTTTCATAATACTAATTACATGTTAAGATGGTATTTGGGAAACATGTGTTAAATAACATTATTAAAAGTAATTTTACTTCTTTCATTTCAAAATGTGACTGTCACTTGCACCGCTCATGTTATGTTTCATATGGGCAGTGCTTGTCCAGAACCCCAGCCCATGGCCGTGGGATTACAGGGCTGGTGTGGCTGGAGCGGGTGCTCTGGGGGAGCTGCTCCTGGCCAAGCCCCAAGGACAGGCAGTGTCCAGACTTGTCCAGGGCCCTCCAGTGGCTCAGCAGTGCCAGGCACCTGACTGCCTTGGACGGTGTGGCCAGAGCTCAGCGTGGCTGACAAGGGGGTGCTGAGGCCCAGACCCTCCCTCTCTGTGCCCAGAAGGCCCTGGTGGAAGTGGGGGCCAAGGCTGCTGCTGGGCTCACAGGCTCCCCAAGGAGAGTGTGTTTGCCGGGGCTGTCACACTGGTGCCTAATCCATCCCCTCTGTGTCACTCCGACTTCAGGAGCGCCTGGCCCAGCTGGCTCGTGAGGATGCCGAGCGGGAGCTGAAGGAGAAGGAGGAGGCTCGGCGGAAAAAGGAGCTGCTGGAGCGAATGGAGCGGGCCCGCCATGAGCCCATCAACCACTCGGACATGGTGGACAAGATGTTTGGCTTCCTGGGGACTTCGGGTGGCCTGCCAGACCAGGAGGGCCAGGCTCCTAGCGGCTTTGAGGTACTAGGGTGGGGTCGGGTCCCAAAGGCTCCTCTGCACCGGTGTGATTGTCCCTTTGTGTTAAAGCACACCTGGGCCCTCTGAGCGGAGGGCAGTAATGATGACCTGGACGGGGGACTGCAGGTGCCTGCCCTGTGACCTTGGGCTGAACATTGTCTCTCTATAGTTATTAAACTCCTATCCATTCACCACTGAGGGACTGCCAGGTGCCAGACTCTGTTTGGGCAGTGGACAACAAACAGAGCCCCTGTCCTTGTGGAGGAAGACCAGGCTGTGCAGGGACAGGCTGGGAACAGCAGTCCAGCCCTGAGTCTGCCCCAGGCCCTTCCATCTGGACACCAGGCCCACATGGCAAGGAGCTCCTCTGTGTCCATCAGGACCTGGAGCGAGGGCGGAGGGAGATGGTGGAGGAGGACCTGGATTCAGCCCTGCCCCTGCCCGACGAGGATGAGGAGGACCTCTCTGAGTACAAATTCGCCAAGTTTGCTGCCACCTACTTCCAGGGCACAACGACGCACTCCTACACACGGCGGCCCCTCAAACAGCCACTGTTGTACCACGATGATGAGGGCGACCAGCTGGTGAGGCCTACCTTTGCTAGGTCACTAAGCAGGGCCAGGGCTGGGACCATGGGTGCTTCCAGGGCAGTGGGCCCTGGCTGGACCTAAGCCTGATATTTCCCCAGCTGTCTCCCCACACCCCAGGTTGTGTCCACAGCTTGAGCATGTCTTCAACCCTGACTTTCTGCCACATGTGCTCTGCTACCAGGCGGCCCTAGCAGTCTGGATCACCATCCTCCGGTTCATGGGGGACCTCCCGGAGCCCAAGTACCACACGGCCATGAGTGATGGCAGCGAGAAGATCCCTGTGATGACCAAGATTTATGAGACCCTGGGCAAGAAGACGTACAAGAGAGAGCTACAAGCCTTGCAGGGCGAGGGCGAGGTAAGGCCAGGGTACCTACCCCAGGCCACAGGGAGAGTTGCCTGGGGTGCCCAACCTTGGGGTCCTTGGCAGAAGAAACATCTGACAATTTGTCTCTGCCTCAGTGCTTAGCCCCAGCCTGCCCTCCTGTCTACTCCTGGGGAAAAATACCTAAACATTTTGTTGACCATAACTAAAGGGCTGTATGGCAGAGCAGACAGCCTTTGTCATCAGGGCCAGCTCCGGTAGTGACTTACCAGGAGAGCCTGGGCAGGTTACTGTACTTTCCTCAGTCTCAGTTTTCTCATCTGCCTGTTAGTGTGTGGGGGTGGCCCTGTGAGGTGTCTCGTAAAATTAGCGTGGAGGTACGATGATGCCCGGGCACAGTCCCACTGTCAAGTGATTTTGTTCCCGCTTTCTGTTGTCACTTGCCTCTGACCTCTGTTGGTCCTGCAGGCCCAGCTCCCTGAAGGACAGAAGAAGAGCAGCGTGAGGCACAAGCTGGTGCACTTGACCCTGAAGAAGAAGTCTAAGCTCACAGAGGAGGTGGGAGTACGCCTGAGACCTGGCAGCTTTGGGGGTGGTGCCTCGGGCCAGGCTGTGGCAAGGCTGAGCTGGGACCGGCAGGAGAAGGCAATGCTGCCTGTCCCCACGGGCAGGACAATGGAAGGTGCTTGGATGGTAGGAGTGTATGCAAAAAGTGGTGAATGAGGTTGAGGTCTGGAGCAGGAAGCCAGAGCTGGCAGGGGTCTGGTGGCATATGGAGAGAGGGAGGGTGCTTGGGTTTTGCACATGTGGCTTTTGGTCTAAGGACCTTTCAGACATTTGAACTTTCTTGTGGTAGCAGTGCTCATGGAGCATCAGGACCACTGGTGGCTTTGAACCCCTCACCTTCTTCTGAGCACCATCCCGGCCCTGGGCTGCTGGGATCTGAGTGGAATAGACACAGGCTGTGGCATTCGTGGCCAGCTCTTCCATACCCCCTTGTTTGCACACACCTGAAATTCCTCCTCCTTCTCTGCCTGGGGGTTCTCTTCTCCAGGAAGCCTCTCTTGACCCCCTACTTCAGGGTCAGGGGCTCCTGAATTACCGTTGTCCTGTCCTCTCACGGGGCACAAATCCTCTCCTGCAGCCATGTAGGGTCAGATCTGAATCCCAGCTCTACTGAATACCAAGGGGCCTAGGCAGGGAAACACCCACTCCTGGGGCCTTGGGTGGAGAATGCAGGATGGTGACTGAGCTATGAAGACCTTCCCAGCTTGTCCTGTCCGCATCACACCCCTGCCCCTCACTCATTAACACATCTGGGCAGAGTATAGGGCCACTGCAGTGGCTGTGTGGGACCTCCAAAGAGCCAGGTCTAGAGCCTTGGGGAAAGGGTGGTTGGAGTCCAGGGTGTCCTCTGGCACCAGAGATGTATGAGGGGCCCATCCCAGAGAGATGGGGTCTTGCTCAGAATCTGAGGGATAGGGTCATCCTGGCCGAAAGGGCCTCCCTGGGGTGGGGCCTGGGGTGCAGAGGTTCAAGCAGGCTACAGATGAGCTGTGTCTAGAAGCTGGTGGCACCAAGCCCATGCTTCCCAGCCATGGGCTCATTCTTGGTCTGTGGGGTGGGGCAGTGGCTGTGGCAGGGTCCATGAAGGACCCTGTACTCTGTGGAGGGACAGACTCAGGGAAAGGGGCTCTGGCCAGCAGCGGCAGCACCTTGAACTTTACCAGCTTTGGCCAATCCTGTCCCCTCGGCCCAGGTGACCAAGAGGCTACACGATGGGGAGTCCACAGTGCAGGGCAACAGCATGCTGGAGGACCGCCCCACCTCCAACCTGGAGAAGCTGCACTTCATCATTGGCAACGGCATCTTGCGGCCAGCGCTGCGGTCAGTGCTCAAAGGGGACAGCAATGCCACACTGGGGGTACCCACGCTTCATGACAGGGCCTGGGGGCCTTTCAGTGGCTGCGTGTGGCTCCATCACCTTAGCAACAGATGAATCCCAGAGGTCTGTGTTTGGCTCTGCTGCTGGCTAGTCCTGTGACCTTAGTCAAATTCCTTCAAGCCTGTGGTTCCTAGACTGTAAAGGGAAATAATAGTAACAGTGTTCACCTCAAAGGCTAACCCCTCTCTTCTCCCAGCCTCAGTAAAGTCAGTGGGTCAAGTTGGAGACTCGGGTGGAAGGGGATAGGTTTTCACTGGTCTCTTAACAAGCTGGGCACTAGAGTTCTTTCTGCTCTAATCTTACCCTTCCTACTCCTTGGCTATTTAAAATGACTTGTTTTATGAAGTGATTGGGGTAGTTGGCAGTGTGTGTGTGTGTGTGTGTGTGCGCGCACACATGCACATGTGCAATGTTTTTGTTATCATAAAAAGTTGACAACTTCTAGAATTTATTTAAAAGTCTGTTGGCGTATGAGCTCTCAAAATACGGGACCCTTGAATCAGGTAATCCCTCGTGCCAGGCACTGCTCTTGGAGAAGGAAGAGGAGCAGGCGCGCCCCCTGGTGGTCATTTACATCACCATGTGTCACCTTGTCCCTGAGCAGGCAGGCTACCCTCTTAGAGTTCCCTGCTCAGGGGATGGAAGAAATGTCAACATAACAGTGACCATGGCAGCTGCCCTATACTGGAGGCTTGCTGTGCTATGCCCTATGCTAGGCACTCTGTAAGCCTCAGCTCCTCTTTCTATACAGAAATCATGTAAGGATCATTCTCAAATGAAAACAAAATAACTACTTTTCTTGTTTTAACCTCACTATTTAAATGTTTGAGCATTACAGAAATAGGTGCACTGTCCGCACTCATCCAATCCCAAAGACATGCCCTGGCTTTTTTCTACTCTACCAGTTGGCATCAGTAGGAGCTGTCCCTCCTGCTCTGACTACGGGCTGGGGTTGGAGAAGCGAAACCATCTGTCCAGGACCCTCAGTGGGTCAGGAGGGAGGCAGAGCAGGGCCTGTGCTGCTTGTCAGTGACTGGGTCTCCAGAGGGGGGCCCTGGCTGTGGCCTCTGGACTGGAGTCAGGAAGGTGCTTCATGCTTGATGATCCTGTCCCTACAGCAATGTCCCTTTGGTGGCTGCCCAGAGCCCTGGGCTCAGCCTCTCTACGTGGCCCCCTCTGGCTCCTCCCGAATGGTCTTGGGCAAGTTGGACAGAATGGCTAGCCTGCTGCTGGGGGGGGGGCAGATGCTCCTCTGAGGCGATCCCTCCTGCACAGGGATGAGATCTACTGCCAGATCAGCAAGCAGCTCACCCACAACCCATCCAAGAGCAGCTATGCCCGTGGCTGGATCCTCGTGTCTCTCTGTGTAGGCTGCTTTGCCCCCTCTGAGAAGTTCGTCAAGGTAAGAGAGGTTCCTGGGGCAGAGGGGGGCTGGCCCTATGCTGGCATTGAGGGAGAGAGCAAAGAAAGAGCTTAGCAGGGCCTCCCATCCAGCCCAATGCCCCTGAGTCTCTCTGCCCAGGGAGCCACCACTTGGCTCTGTCCTCCCTCAGCCCTGTTCTACTTAGGCTGAGCCTGACAGGAGTACGTCCTGGGTCCCGTGCTCACATCTTAGGGCATTCACTTCAATTCAGCTCAGTGACAGGCCTGGATGCTGGCTGGTTCTGTGAGGGTGGAAGAGGTGGTGGAGTCTAGACTGGGTCCCCGAGGAGAATAGTTACACTGGGTAGAGGGAGTGATGGCATGTGTGGGGGCGAGGCAGAAGACCTGGCAGAGACCAGGTGGGGCTGAGCTGTGTGATTCTGTGGCCCAGGCACAGTCCATAGACTCGGTCCAAGTGCAGCGGGAGCCGTGGCTGGAGAGGAGGGGTATGGGCAGTCCCGCCTCAGGGAGCAGGTCCTGTGTGCAGCAGTGGTCCAGGCCGGGGAGGCCCAGGGCTGATGGGGCGGGCTGCTTCATGGGGTCTGCTGTGTGTAGTACCTGAGGAATTTCATCCATGGGGGACCACCTGGCTATGCCCCATACTGTGAGGAGCGTCTGAGGAGGACCTTTGTCAATGGGACGCGGACACAGCCACCCAGCTGGCTGGAGTTGCAGGTGACTCCCCTGCAGTTTTACACACTCACTGCCCTCTGCCCCCCACACAATGCGCCCTGCTTTGGGATTCAGTGGTTCCTCAAGTGCCCACCCTCAAACTCTGTAATCTGGACCCCTGGGTGCAGGATAGTCCCCCAAGGGTCATCGAGTGCCATTTGTTGGCCTTATGCCAAAGAGTCTTGGGTGTGGGGATGCTCTCTGCATCAGAGTGGTTCTACTGCCGCGCAGGGCTATGCTACCACTTTGCAGGGTCTTACGATGGTTGTGTGAAATGAGTGAAGAAGCCCCTGCATGTGGCAGTGTCTGACCTCCCAACCCAGGGCTCTGGCACAGGGGCCCTAACAGTCCCATCTGGGAGGGCTGTGCAGCAGGGCCCCCAGCTACCTATGAGTGGGATAGGCAGTGTCCTAGAGGAATGCTCGGGACTTGGGGCTCAAGGGCAGCTTGGCCCCACAGAGAGCATGGAGCAAGCGTACAGAATGTAGGCTGGTCTTAAGTGACCCCATAAATCTCTTGGTCACCTCAAGGCCACCAAGTCCAAGAAGCCCATCATGTTGCCTGTGACATTCATGGATGGGACTACCAAGACCCTGCTGACAGACTCGGCGACCACAGCCAAGGAGCTGTGCAATGCCCTGGCTGACAAGATCTCCCTCAGGGACCGTTTTGGGTTCTCCCTCTACATCGCCCTATTTGACAAGGTATAGCAATCTACAGCGCCACCTCCTGGTGCCACTCAGCAAGGCCACTGACCCCTACCGCAGTGTGCTGCTTACTAGCTCAGGGGATCTCCAGTGGGTTACTTAGGCCGGGGTAACATGAATCTGTCCGGCTCACCAGGATAGTGGAGGCCTCTTAGGTACCAAGGAAAACCTCCTCAGGGCCTTGCAGACGGAAACCCAAGCCCCTAGGGTGGTGTGTGCCCAGGCTAGAGGAATCCTCCCGTGGTGCCCAGCTGTGTGCTCCTGGGAGCCACCCGGGGAATCTACTTCCTTATTGGCTTGCTGTGACACGTGACAGAGACTTCAACAAGTAGTTGTTCCTTTCTACCTGTCCTCTACCAGCTGGCGTGTGAGCACCCCAACTCGGTCCTGCAGCCATCTTCACTGAGCTGGTCTGGGGGCTTTGGGATTTTTCACCTCTACTCCTCCAGTCCAGGGAAGAACTTGGAGGCTGGCCATGGTTCACCTGGATATTACACACACACACACACACACACACACACACACACACACACACACGTTTTCTGTGGGAATTTCCCCAAAAGTTGCACAAAAAATGTGCACTGAGATTTCCGTGTAATATGCCCCTTACTACGTCTAGAAAGATAATAATTGAGTTGCTGGCTCAAGCCCATGGCTCGGATCCACAGTTCCTCCTGGGGGCCTGGGGCACGTTTCTGCCTCTGAGCCTTATTTCCATCTGGACTGAAATGCTGTGACACAGCTGACGGCTCCTCGGTCTTCCCCTGACCCCGTGTCTGCCCACTCTTCCTCTGTGCCCGCAGGTGTCTTCCCTGGGCAGTGGCAGTGACCATGTCATGGACGCCGTCTCCCAATGTGAACAGTATGCCAAGGAGCAGGGCGCCCAGGAACGCAATGCGCCCTGGAGGCTCTTCTTCCGAAAAGAGGTCTTCACACCCTGGCACAACCCCTCAGATGACAACGTGGCCACCAACCTCATCTACCAGCAGGTGGTGCGAGGGGTCAAGTTTGGGGAGTACAGGTGTGAAAAGGTGAGCGAGAGGGAATCTCCGGCCCTGGCTTGGCCCTCAGCCACCTGTCTGTCCAAATATGGGCTTTGTGCTACTGCCTGGGACCCACCAGCAGCTGGTGCTGAGGTGGGACTGTTTGCTTTTGGACACTGTCCAGGCTTGCCCTGGACCGAACCCGCATTCCTCATGGGAGCTGTGAGGACGTGGTACCGTGACAGCAGCAGGGGCTCCAGAAGACATCCTGGATTCTGCCAATGGGAGGAGTCCCTGCACTGCTGCAGTCTATGTGCAGCACGGCGTATGTGCGTCAGTGCATACCCCTGGCACGGTCTGGAGTCAGTCTAGTAAACTCCGGGGGAGAAGGACATTCGGTCCTTTAGACTGGGCTTTGCACGTGTGTATCGCTTCCTCTCCTCAGGACAGGAACGGTGTGGTTGGCTTGTTGGGGACGGTGGTGATGGTGCTTCTGATGGTGCTCATGGTTCCCTCAGTGATTGTGATGAGGGATGAGGCTGGGCCTGACGGGAGCGCAAAGGATGTGGGTGGTGGAGGGAGGAGGGATGGTGCTGGTGGTGATGCGGGCAATGCTAATGGCTATAGTGATGGTGTTAGTGTTGCTGATGATGGTGTTTACTGTGGGTATCGTGGTGATCTTGGTAATGTGGTAGTGATGATGATGGTATAGGTGATGATAAGCTAATATTCAGTCACTAAGTGTTGCATCAGCTGTATTATTTGCTAAAAATCTGAAGTACTTGAACGTTGGAAAATATCTGTTGCCTTCAAGGCCACCAGACCCTAGCTGTATTTCCCCTCCTGTTGGAGCCCTGGGGAGCCCCAGGCAGGCCTCACTGGCTGTCATGCACAAGCCCAGGCAGAGAAGGACCAATGTCCAGTGCCCACCTGGCGCTCTGCAGTCTTAATTATCCCCCAGATGCACAGCAGTGGTGACAGGGAATCGATGAAGTAGTGGTGAAGCAGTGAAAACAAAGGGTACCAAAGGCCAGGGTGCCGGACCTATGGGAGGCAGGGCCAGAAGAGGGCTGGCAGTGGTCTGGAAGGACTTCCCAGAGGGGACTGAGCCACAGATGTGACTAAGGTCTCCTCCTCCAGGAAGATGACCTGGCCGAGCTGGCCTCCCAGCAGTACTTTGTGGACTATGGCTCAGAAATGATTCTGGAGCGCCTCCTGAACCTTGTGCCCACCTACATCCCTGACCGTGAGATCACACCCCTGAAGACACTGGAGAAGTGGGCCCAGCTGGCCATTGCTGCCCACAAGAAGGTAGGAAGGCCAGGAGAGGCCTTGGGGGAGGGGTCAGGATCCAAGCAATCAAGGTCACAGTTCCCTTCAACAGGTGTCTGTCTGTGGGGCTGCTGGGGCCTCCAACAGCTGTTTCTCTACCATGAGTATCAGTCACGCCTGTCTTTTATCTCCTTCCCTGTGCCAGGGACACAGAGCCAAATCAAACCCAGTCCTGCAGGTTGTGAGGGAACCCCTGAGACCATGGTATTGAGGTGACATCCCTGGTCTTGTACCAGCTGCTTTGCAGTACTGTCTCCCAGGAGCTACTATTCAGGAGTGGAGGTGACACTGGAGGAAGTGTCTAAGCATTGCTTTTTTTTTGTTTTTTTGGTGTGGGGAATCAAACTCAGGGCTTTGCACTTGCCAGGCAGCGCTGCACCACTGAGCTACATCCCTGCCCCTGGGAGTATCTAGGAAATGTGTACTTCTTTTCCTAAAGGAACCCCAGTCACCTACCTGCCTGGTCACTCAAGGTCCAGGCTCCTTCTGAAGCCCTTGCTTGGAGCCCTAGGCCTGGGACCAGAGTGAGAGGTTCCTTCCTGAGCTAAGGAGCCTGCCCAGGTTGGCCAGGGGCATCCAGGTGGGGAAGAGGCTGGGGCACTGGCTGGCAGTGAACCTATCTCCAAGGCCCCTGCTGTGTCAAAGTAGACTCGTCCTTGCACAGGGTCCACAGATGCCCCCGCCTGTCATCTGCCACACCACATCCCTCTCCCTCACCTGGAGCCCCATGCTATCCCTGTCTACGCTCTAATCTCCCTGGTTAATTCCCACCAGGCCCACTTGTCAGAATGCTTCCTGCACCAGCATCTGTGTTCAAGTATGACCTCTTCTCCCCTTCAGAAGAGGGGTGTGTCCACCCTGCCATCTCCCTCTTTGTTCTTTTCTTTTCTTTTTTTTTTTTTTTTTTTTTTC